TGCTCTTCATTTGAAGTTAGCATGATTATATCTTTTTATTGAAAAGTGCTATTATTATAAGCTTTAACAGTTTAATGAATAAGCTTGTTCAGAAAATGATGCAAAATTTTCACCACTATGCCAAAGGCGCTTTGTGAAATAAAAACCTGTAACTACGAAGAGCACGTTTTTAGGTCGAATTTGAGAGTTTTTATAAAATTATACACTACGCAGAGGGTCTAATTATATTTCAACGTAAGTTCCAGTACACCGATGTGTAGCCAAACGAATTTGAGGCCTGTAGGTTTTATACATTTTGTGTAATTTAATCCCAAATTTGAAGAAAAAAAACAGCAGAGCAGGTAAGTGTGGTAACCCACCTCTTCGTCATTATTGATTAACTGTGCTTCTAAAAAGACTTTTGGAACAAAGCCGATTGCAGGCTTCCTTTTATCATTAATCAGGCAACAATATATAAAATTTTGAAAATGATTCAAGAGGTCAACCAGCCATGTTTTCTTCAATCTTACGTGGAATCGCCCAGTTACGGATGATACCATGAAGTGTATTCCGGTTCATTCTTGTCTCATTCCTAAACTCTTTGTCCAAATTCTGTATTAAGGTATTTGTATAACGTAAAGTTGTTTATCAGTATAAAACAAATAATCTATGTATTAGTATAACTATTCCTTTCAGAAACTTGCGCTGGCCGTCAATGCAACTTCTTCAAATTCAAGATATACCAGACTTCTGCACAAATTCACTTGTTGAAACTTCCCCACTAGCCTGACACATTCCTTGCTCGACTATTGTTGATCACTTCAGTAGCATGACGTGACACGAATTGTTTCAATATTGTCGAGCAATACGCACAGACTCAACTTGTCAATTACTACTGGCAACAGTGTATTCCAATTCGCTGATATTGTGGCCACTCAGAACTACTTTCAACCGACAAAAATCATGTTCAATTTTACCTACTCTAAACTCCCTCGAATGCCCCGCCACGGTTGTCTAGTGGTTAAGGTAGTGGGCTGCTGACCCGCAGGTCGCGGGATCGAATCCCGGCTGTGGCGGCTGCATTTTCGATGGAGGCGGAAATGCTGTAGGCTCGTGCTCTCAGACTGGGGTTTAAAGAACACCAGGTGGTCACGATTTAAAAAAACGCCAGGTGGTCTAAAATCTCGGAGGCCTCCACAACGTTGTCTCTTTTAATCATATGGTGGTTTTGAAACGTTAAACTCTCTCGACTGTTTAGGTATATGATTATTTTACACATCAGTATTTTCACACTCATAAACGCAGACAACGTCTCGATATGGTTTTAGCGGTATGAGTTTTTTTTTTTTGCAGTTTTACGAAATTCATTTTGAGTGGCTAACCTCAACGGTGATTTTAGGTGTAGTGAGCGTATTCGAGCTTCGGAATGTTTGTGAACTTAGAGGCAGAAAATTGGACTTTAGAAATCTCTTAAGTAGCACACAATCGTCGAACGCATGGAATCTTTCTTGTTGCAGGAAACAAACACTTCGAGACTAACTAGCTATGCACTCTATTCATGAATTCGGGACCAGATAGCAGTGCACTAGTCATTAAGCGAGGCAAAATCTATACCACTTGATCAAGCAGGCAGGAGTATGTTTTGGAGCAAAGTTCTCGCTCATCTTTCAGCGACTGTGCTTGTTTTCTTGTCAACAGGTACGGCTGACAAGCTTCACATATATCAAGAAATCGTATTTATTAGTTCCTACTGCGTGGATGCAGGCACCAGGTACCCTTTAGGTGATTCGCATTATTGTAACGTCTTCAAAGATGATAGAGTCATAGGCTTTAGTAAGGTTCCTAGTTATGAATCATGCGCGTTTTCCGAACACGCAGCATTAAGTCATTGCATACTGGAATTGGCAATGCTTAAATAAACACTCCCCTACACCGTATACATGTAGCTGTTCAAAAACCGTCACAGTCGCTATGCGTGGTGCATGATTAAAGTTCACCCAGTGACGCAGTATATTTTTTCCCAGGAAGTCTGCGCATCTCTCTTCGCATTTTCTTAACTTCTTTCCTTCTCACGTCTTGGCCGGAAGGTGTTGTTCACTTAAACCTCTCAAGTATTAGCCAATCACTCCTGAGTTGCAGCCGTGTGTACGCAGTAGGTTTCGTTTATCCTCGATATTTTGCCAATAAGCTGCATGTATATAGTTCTGTACTTCAACTTACAGAGGTCGATTAGACAATGGTATCGAGTATTAGTCGAACTGTTTGGGCTGTGACATACATGAATTTTTATACCAGCTCGTTGTTTTCGTAACGTTATGTTTGAAGCCGTAATAATACGTAAAGTCAAACATTACCTCTGCTCAGCGCAGTTTCCTAACTTTGGCAAAGTAAATGCTGTCGACACGCGACACCACCGCATCCTCGTGGCTTGCAATAAATGCGGTTGCAATCACCATCAGGCTCTGCTGAATGAGATTACTATTCACTACGCATCGCGTTTTATCACTGGGTTTCTCAACGGCTGACACCGCTAAGGCAACTGGTAGAGGACAGTTTCAAAAATAATATGTCTGCACTGCTTCTTCAACTCTAGAGGCAGAAAAATAATAAGGGGCCGGGTTCACGCTTCGTGTAACACGTTTGACAGCAATTTGCTATCTCTCTTTCTCTCTCTCTGTCTCTCTCTCTCTCTCTCTCTCTCTCTCTCTCTCTCTCTGTCTGTCTTTTCTTTGTTTTCTTTTAATCCAAAACCAGCAACAATGGCGACACTTATCGTTGCCGATAGCTCGTCGTGAATTCTTGAAAAAAAAAATGCTTCAATTCCAAGAAACTTAGGTGTGTCACGATTCAGCACACCAAGAGGCCATGTCAGTCTTGGAAGTCGTGAATCCTGCCCCTGTCTGCTATTCCGCAGTGCAAACCCTCTGTTCATGTCAGTTCATACTCGATTCAAGTAATCTGTTGTGCTGTTCTTTTGATTTTTTTTCAAAAAGAAATAAGTAAGTAGGTTACAATGTAGTAAGTATGTCTGATTTAGTCGCATTAAGCTCAGTTGCACAACCTAAAGAAAAAAAAGTGCAAGAAAAAAATAAACAAACAGAAAAGAACAGCCCTGCTTGATAAAGTTCACACCGCACGGCGTTGTGCAACATTCAATGGCAATATTATCGAAAACGTTGATATCTAGCTATGCGCGAAACATTGATATATTTACACTAAGAACACACCCACAGAAATGCGGAGTTCGAAGGTACTTGTAAGTTGACGGGGTCGTTTATCCGAAATACGAGGCACGCGCCGCGTAGACTGCGAGCCACTGGCAGCGCGTGTGTACATGCGCCACCACTCCACTCTGTGGCGAACAAAATTTATGGAAAACAACGGACTAGCAAGTTCAAACGCCCACAAGCTACTTTTCACGAGACGAGCATGCCCCATAGTGAGCACGTTCAAGACGATTTGTCTTAAAGTGTTAGCCACTTACATTGCATGCTCGCCGCATGTCCCACGGCACCGTACCATTGAGGGGCTTCCAAAGGCTTTTTCAAAGTAGGACAAATTTGAGTAGCGCATAACATCACAAGAAAACGAAGCACGTGACCACTGAGCCATGTTCAGTGCCTTCCTTTTTTGTCCCGTGTCATGGTGGTCGAATTTCCGCTTTTTAACTCTCCAGCGAATATAACCACGCCAGAGATAACAGGCTTCTCACTTTAGGTTTATCACCATTTCACACAAAATTTAAATCACACAAGCCTACGTCCTCATGATGGCTCATTATTACTTTCTTGATAACATTATTTATTACATTGCTGACCCAGGAAAAAAAACGCCGTTGTTAGCGCGAATAAATGTTCGCATAAATGCTCCAAGCGTTTCATTTAAGCGCTGGCCGCAATTATCTAGGCCTTCACAAAAAGAAAGAAGGAACGAAACGTTTTCTAAAAGTCAGCTTTTAATAAGAAGGCCTTTTTGCACGCTTTTCTAACGTTTCACTGAAGATATCTTGAGAAGTGACTTCTAAGACTATGTAAACAACTGACAGAAAGATTTTAGACGCAGACACAAACACTCAAATGAACAGAAAAGGACGTTTCACATGCGTAGACCAAAGGAGCAATCACGAAAGATTACAGACAATTCACAATGCGTTCATGCGGTCTACCGCTTCTGACTTAACAGGCCAGGTTCCAGTATGCATTCTCCGATATAAGTATAGATATATTGCTTAGCTACGCACTTTAAATAGAGAATACTGAGAAAAACTCGATGTATCTGTGCTCAGGCCCATTCGATTTTCTCACGATAAAGATTGTTTACTTGCACATTTAAAAGATTAAGGTCATGTGGAGCAAACAGACACCTTTAGGAATATCAACGGGCTATTTAATTTTTACCTATATAAAAAAAAAACTTGACTTGGAGCAGTTTGGTTGTTGCGAATATACCCCCACGTTCTCAGAACGCCAAGATGCTGAACCTCCAGCTGAGAGCCATTCAACGCAAACAATAAAGAAATCATCACAGCGCTCGCCTTATTTTGCATTTTCTCGTTTACCTTTAGCGTAAACCTAGCGACTGTGGCTGATTGGCAGAGCTTTGTAGACTATTTGCTCTGATTACAATGCCTATTTTATTCCCATTACGTGCAACAATATCAGACAGCACACGTCAATTGAAAGTGTTGTGCAAATATAACGGACGTAGTCAGGTTCGCGAGGTAATAGGAAGAAAACACAACTGACCTATACTGTTATCAAACTTCTACTTTGCTCGCCCGCTGCACATTCTTCGGCTCAGCTGGCACTCAGGTATACGATTGCCAGGCGAATTTCCGCTCGACGCATATACTTCAGTTGTCCAGAACAGTGGAACAATGATCCTAATTTTTTTCTGTATTTACATGACGACGACAATAATACATAGTCTGCTCTACACACGTATAAATAATAAGTGCAGTTTTTTGTCGCGAAATGCTGAGATTAGTATCCTCTCATATCGTGAACTAGTTAAACCAACATTTTATTTTTTCAAACCTTCATTTTAAAGTTTATCTTTCTACCATATGGCTAATATTTTTTGTCGATTCGAATCACAACATCTTGAGCAATTTATTCTCAAGATTTAATACATCGCGGGCATATAGTGATAATGCTTATTATGCAATTAACAAGCTAGCTTCAAAAAACCACACGGTATTGAGAATAACATCAATGAACTACAAAGACTACAGTTTAGGTACGTCAGTTTCACTGGACGCCTTGTGCTTGCCGCGTCGGAAACACGCACAACGTCTCCATCACATTGGCTTCCATCCTCACACAAGCAGTGACGATGCACAGCAAGACACAACTACACAGAGTACACTCTTTCACCCAACACACAACGACAACCTTCTAACTCGGGATAGGGCTCCGAGAAAAGGTATCGACAAGGTCACTCGTCTCATTCATACCTAGGATTTTTTCTTTAAGGAACACTACACAGTGGCACAGAGAGGGAGTAAAATTCCAGACAGCTATACTCCAGATGCAAATTCCGCAGTGGAATTGTGGAATAAGATTTACATCCTGTGATTATGCTTGTGGATGTATAGGTACGTTGCGTGACACACAACACGAAAAATATGACATCGCATCTTGCGGTATCATCAGACTAGATCTTTTGACGGGACTGTTTTCTACGGCACGTTATTTTTTTTCTTTCTTCCCTTTCGAGGCTTGCTTCAGAAAATCCCAGCCTTCCGTTGTTCGCGTCAGGCGCGAATATGTTATTTCGAAGCCGCTCTCGAGAATGATCCTTCGGCCTGTCTTAAAACTCTATATCGCTACAATTGGCGAGGTGATGGGAATTAGTGTTGTGAGGGATCTTACTTTGCATAAAACCTGCGCTATGTGGCCGTTTACACTGAGCGTACAAAAATACATAGGGTTATTGAAGGCAGTAATGCCCCATATGGGTTTGCCATTTGAGACATTACATGATCAGCAGCGCGCATACTTGAAGTGTTTCTAGCTGGCACGTCCATAAAGCATCAATTGCAAGTGAAGGTCCCAAATAAATCTTTTGTATGCCATGCACAAAAGCCTAAAACGTCCTGATTTAGCTAGTGCCCTTAAGTCATCGCATAAAACACAGCGCTCCTAGGAGGCTCGAGGGCTCTTTTACACCCTTATGACCTCCGTATACTAGCTGTTATGTTCACCTGTTGGAAATGCACCTTAAAAATATAGCGGTCCCACGATGAATCTATTTAAATAAGACAATTGAATGTGAGCCGTAGTCACTGCAATGTTATAAACCGCGAAAACGGTCTTCTCAGTGGTCGTTTGAAGCTGCCTTAGAATAAGTAACAAAATGAAGCACTCTGTCCTTACTAACTTTTACACAGGTGCGTGTTTTTAAGAACAGCGATGTCTGGGCCCTTGGTTGAACCGAGCACAAGGCTGTTCGAACAACCGTTGGAGCGTTTAAGCAAATCAAAAAGCCACATGTATATTATATTGCAAAAAACTGACCGCTGTTTGGCATCTGCATTCCCAACCTGTTTACTCACTGCGCCATATCCACTCGCGCTTTTACTCGAGTGCAGAGCCATGTAGATTTGGCACGCGATTAAGGCGCCGGCTACAGAGCCGCCTTCGGACGGGCACTTATATCTGTCTACGTAAGCATTCCATTCCTTCTTTCCCTCTCGATGGTGCACAACAGAAGAAAACTGCATCATGTTGTGGATTCAGGTAAATGTTCGTGATTGCAGTGCACGATAAACATGTTGTGCCCATCGCACGATTGGTAAAATGAAGACACCAGGCACTCGCTTATAAAGCCAGGGCGGCCAGCGACATCCCCGTTCAGCCAGCCTGGCGAACGCGTCAAGCACATTACTGGCTTGAAGTGCCGAGCGTCCCCGAGCACAATCAAAGAACACAGGCAGCTAAAGTGGGGTGCTCGCATTAAGCACTACAGAGTCACACCGTACACAAGACATGACACAACCTGCACTGAAACAACATCAGATGTCCGGCGGAAGAACAGGTCAACGGCTCACACTCGTTCGCTGACCAGCTCGGCGGCGGGCGAGATGCGCGAGCCGGGTGAGTCGGTGTTGTCGAATTTGATGCACATTGCCTTCACCACAGGACTCTGGGTAGAGTTGCCCTGGCTGCTGCTGCTGAAGAAGCCCCCGTGCTTAGGCTTCAAATGGCGGTTGTTCATCTCCATGTGAACAATCTTCATGAACTCGATCTGGGCCGCTAGCTTTTGAATCTCCTCCTGCACAGAGCAGCGCATCTCATAGGGATTCATGCGATTAGGAACAAAAAGTCTTAACGGATTATATTCGTGCGCATCATCATACGAGCGACCAAGACACGAGAAGGAAGCACTCGCTATTTACCGAAACTTCATAAGGTGAAAAAATGTTGAAGCCTCACACGCTTCTACGCAGGCTTGAAACTGGCGAAGGCGTGTCTGGTCCTTCACAAAGCTATTAGACCATATGATGTGTTGTAAGGCTCATCGAGCAGGGTGGCTCCACGCACGCATATTATTACTATATTATTATTATTATTATTATTATTATTATTATTACGACCTTCCCACAAGGTCAGTGTTACGAGTGACGTGCGTAAGCAGCAAACCTTCCTACAGCAACGTTTCTCTTCATCATTAGAGAAAGTGGAATCAACGTGCAAGCGAGATGAAAAAAAAAGGCAGTCGTCGATATCTCGTTTTCACGAAACTAAAAACAACAAACGGCAGCCACGGAGCACCGAGTGACGAGCGGCCCTCTTCCACCTGGCCTACCAACGTGCAGAGTGACGGCAGGCAGCGGAGCATCTCGTAAGGCACCACAAAGTTGCATTCGACGAGACTCCGTCAATACAAGAGATTACAAAGATAAAGGTCGGTTAGTGAACTTGAGTTTACATATGCATGTGTTCATCTCCTTTTGTTAGTGAGAAAGTTTTCACATTCTTATAATGAAGGAATGCTTTCGCTCATAGCCGTGTGCCCCATACAAACAACCTTCCTCCATTTTTTTCGGTACAACACGGAAAAGCCAACACTGCTTATTAACTAAAGTTGATGTGTCAGGTCAGTTATTGCAAGAGTTGTCGCAAGCGCACCGACTACAGCCTCAATTCCGCAGGTATTTCTATCGGAAATCTCCACAGAAGAGCACTAACCTATAATCGACACCAGAATCAGTCAGGACAATATCGATGAAATGCCGAAGAGGCGCGTAAACAAGAAGATCAGAGGACGGCGGATACAGATTTGCGATAGCTCACGAACTGTACCCCCGACGCGGTGATCGGGCGCACAAGCTCCCCTTATCTAAGTATATTATGCTGTACTGCATTCGTATACGTCCGTGCCTTTTGTGCAGTGCTGCTTTTTATAGGACTCATTACGAGAAGTCAAGCCTTGGTAGCCAAAACAACGTGTGCGTCACACTTATCGCGAACCCTGGAAAGTTCCCCTGCTCCGCTTAATGTCTTCCATCTCACACCTTCGGCTGCCTTCTAATCGTGACACTGTTCCCTTTGAAAAGCGCCCTTCGATGATGACACTGTTTCCAGCGCACTGATAACTATCGCATTCGTAAGGTTGTTTGCCTAATTTAAGCGTCTACATTATGTTAATATTGTGTAGTCATTGTTCTCAACAGCAGCACTTGTTATTGTAGAAGCTTCGCTGCACACGTAGTGTTTTGCATTGCCGAAAGTCACCGCGACAACGGGCAAGTAATAATTTAAGGGTTCAGATGGAAGCTCGCTCACCTCTGCAAAGTGAATAGATTTTGCACGCTAGAGCGGGGGCGGTAAACAACTATGTTATAGATGCGAAGCGTCTTATAGTCAATCTCATTCCGGTGTGGCGTGACCACCCTCACAGTGCATGGGCATCCCTCCCCCTTGATTATCTTCCACGCTCCCCCTTCTCTCCCCTCGCAACGCTGACATAGGCAGCATCTGTTAGCGTATGCTCACGAACCCATCTATCTCCTCTAGGCATTACTTCCAGTGGCATTTCAACCCCCACCAAATATGCGTCCCCTCCCCGTCTCTCTCATCTCATACGCTGTCCCCTCTCTTACATCGCGACCCCGACTCAGGCAGCGTCTGCCAGCCTACGCTCACTACCCCATCTCTCTCCTCCCTTCCAGAGGCGTTTAATCCCCATTGCATATACGTTCTTCCCCTCTCCCTCCACTTGTACGCTCTTCCCCTACCTCACTTCGCAAACGCCGACACAGGCAACGTCTGCTAGCGTACGCTCACTACTCCATCCCCCTCCTCTAGGCATCCCTCCAAGCGGCGTTTAACCCCCAATGCATATGCGTTCTCTCCCCCTTTCTCTCCTCTCGCGCGCTCTTCCTCTCTCTCACCTCGTAACACCAACGCAGGCAGCGTCTGCTAGCCTACGGTCGCTTCTACCCCCTCTCTTCTTTAGTCATCCCTCCCAGTGTTATATCCACACCCTGCGCGTGCGTGCCCTCTCCCCCTCTCTCTAGTTACTTGTCTTGTCCCCCTCTTACCTCGCAACGCCGACGCAGGCAGCATCTGCTAGCGAGTTTCTCGATTGAAAAAGCCGACTGCTCACGCTGCACAACTTTTTACGGCCCCCCTTTCCCCGTATATATTGGCACTGGATCTTGACCTCCAAGATAGTGCTGGTGCGATGTTTCTCCTCTGCGTTATTGAATAAAAGTTCGCAGCGTACGCATTAACTAAAGTGGACTGCGGGTCTCTGTTCTATCGAAGTCTTTTTCTCTCATTGCACATTAGCAGGGATTGGCATGTTGCAGTAGGAAGCACCGGTCCATCACAGCGTGCATTGCGCCTCAGTAGGTTCCTCTCCTGCTCAACGCCACGATGAGCGGTAGCGTCAACGCCGCCTCCAGTGACGCCAGGGTAAGCGTTAGTGCCCGCTGCTTTGCATCTACACATGTTTTTTGTTGTTGTTTTGGCCCGATATGGTAATATTTTTATTTTTAACGTGTAGTCTGTTTTCAGGTAACTGAACATATTGGGTTCGAAGCCCCACATACGCTTGACTGTCCATTATGGCTATCCTAGGACTCCAGAGCTACTCATTCTTGAATATTTAAGCTGTTCTGTATACCTAAAAACGAGCCATTTTACTTGTCCCCGCTTTATAGCCAGTTCTATAAAAGCCACTCACACACAACTGCTGATTAATATTGTGCCCTCTTCATTAGTGTAGTGTGAAACTGTGGCCTGAAGCGTGGCTACAGCTGCATTAAAGCCAGCCCCGTAGACGCACACTCACGACGCGGTGTTTTTTTTTTGATATAATGCAAACTTATGAGAAAGTCACACTGGCTCTTTCTCGAAGTTCTTCGTGTTCAGTGCTCTAAGAGAACAAACTGTGAGCCGCATAGATGGTCTATGGTGATTGAGAAAGAATGGATAGTGCACTGCCTGTGACATCCTATCTCAACCCAGTTGCACTCCTTCACCCTACCTAATTAGTATCTTGACGGCATAACAACATGAATTATTATGTTTTTCTCGATTTTTTTGTAGGGCAAGATTTGCCAAAATAATCCCACGCAGCTGCGACGGGTGTGCAATTGTAATCCTCGAAACAAATTATTTAGACAGACGCACATTACTTGCACAATAAATCCAAATACTACTTAAATAGTAAAAAAATTACTAATTAACATTTGAAGTCAATAATTTACGACGCACGTTGAAGTTCAGTTATTCTATTCGTTGAACATTCGGGGGATATACTCACATGAAACATTTTTTAAGGCAACCATTTAGTTTGGTACACTGTTTCCAAAAGTGAATGACGAAACGCATTGGCATTCCGTTTGTTTTAGCACTGCATTGAATGAACGGGAGAGGCCGTGAGGATTCATTTAAAGCACAAGTCATCTTCACAACCTCACCTGCTATAATTCGTAAGCTCTAAAATATGTGCCACAAAATAATCAGCCGAAAAATCAACTCGTCGAATCACAATTATCAGTCTGTCTTACACTGTAAAGTAAGTTCTACTGTAACACACTTATGTAAGTGCTGTCACCTGTCCCAGGTAATTAAAAAACTCCCCACACATAAATAATGAAAGAAGAGCTTGCCGGGAGCTGGGACAAGAGCATGGAGCATGAAGGGGGAGGGAAGTCGGAGGAGGATGGTCTGTGTATGCAATGTGCATGCGCTCAGGTTTCTTTTTTTTTCATAAGTTCGCCCAGAATAAACATGGTATATCCCCAAAGTGAATGATGATGAGTGGGCGAAGGAGTGGGAGTGTTCGGTGTTAATGTAAATCACCCGTAACATTGGCCACTCACGCATGTAAATGGGTGCCAAGCGTTGTACAGTTATATAGAATGTTTATTGGTCATTATTTCTATGTTTTGTTGAGTTGGGAATTTCGTTTCGCGGTCATTATTGCTTCTTTGTGGTAACAAATCTAGCCTGATGTTGGCGAAGACTAGGCCTAGGCACACTCTTTTGGTGGTTGCTCGTTATTTCCAGTCATACGAAATGCATCGTAGAGCATATCGAGACGTCAGCTACTGTACAAGCCAGTCATTGTCCATGATTATCATCGTCATCATTTTCATCGTCATTAGCGTCATCGTAATCGTCATGGCGTATAGTTGGTACCTTGCATGTGCTGTGCCGTGACGGCAGAAGGCGATTGTGTGTCTGGAGCACGCTTTTTCTTCAATGTCATCAGCATCATCGTCAGTGGCGGCTATGGCGCGCAACGCCAACGCCTACAGACAAGCCTCGCCCCTGAGGAGCTTGTCCGCTAAACAAAAAAAAAATTTACCGTACTAAAGTACGTACTACCCTCAGCACTCACAAAACACCTAATACTTCAATTGTTCGTAAGTGAAAAGTTCAGCTGATCCTGTCGCTGAACGCTTACTGCGCCTAACGGTGGTGCAGAAGACTTACTAAACTAAACACTTTGTGAACTTGACCACTGGTGAAATCGCCGAGGGGTCCAGCATCCACTGCATTTTATAGGCAGCCATAAGAGGGGTAAAGCTGTAGACAGTATTCGCACCAATCGCTTGCAGGTAGCTATAGCAGCTCCATCGTCTGCTCCGTGCCGACTTACAAAAATATACTTACAGGGAAACATGACATGCAAAGCACGTTCAGTGACGCAAAAGCCCCCAAACAACGATGCGCAACCTCTGCATGCTGACGTCACACCGTAGCCAGGGTTTGTCGTTTGCCTGCCCCTATTTATATTGGGCACTCCACAAAACTTGCTTTCAGTTTTTCCAAAAATACAGGTTTCGAAAGTACAGCGTACAATCTGCGCCGTATCTCACGAAGCCTTTGAAGCGTTTTTCAATTGCCCTGACGTCAGCCTGTTGCTCGGTGGCTTGCTCCAGTACATAGCTGAATTGCAATGAAGCCCACCCTACCTTTCTATTTCCCGTATCACAACCAGGAGGTGATAGCGACTTCGAATTCTCATCATCCCAGTTGTTGAGCCAGGCAACAAGTGAAGCTGAACGAAGAATGTTGCCGGGCCAGCTCGCCTCTATACGCAGAGTAGTGCTAAGCGAAAGCCGCAACAAAACGACATACTCGTTTCCCTTGCCTTCAACATTTCTGATACAATCGACCGCGGCAGAGAAAACACGAAACTTGATTTCTTCATTTTTTTTCTTTGTCCTTTAAACAGACACCTTGTTGCATTAAACATTGGAATTGAAAACCCTAAGAGCTATCTAGCAAAGCGCTATGGGCCTGACCACCATAAATAACTCAAGCAGGAGTTCTTCCGTATTTATGCTTGCCCCCTTCCCACGCACAAACAGCTTTTTTTTTCGCTGAGAAAAACTAATAACAAAAGTTATTTATAAAATTTTAATTACTAGAGCAACTAGGCAAAGATGCGTGTGCTTGCGTGTGCTCCTCCATTCTCCCCTTTTCTTTTCTGCATTCCTACATGCGTATAAACAAATCCAATTCCTTACTTTGAATAGACGATAAAATAACGGAGAAATCTTTTCTTATCGGTAACGAATGAAACTATTATGATCTTTTTTATATATAGTAGAGCTTCGTTGAATGTAAAGAAAGAGGTACAGCTACTGGAGGTAAGAGCGAATTCTCAAAAATTTCAATAATTTGAGCGATTGTTGTTAACCATTTTTAGGTGGTATCGCATGAACACATAACTTTTTCATTAGTGTCGCGTCGACTCGGTCACATTATAGCGACGCTTGTGCTATATAGCAAGAGTAAATGATTCTGTCTCCCAGAAATAACACTGGTGGTTACACTGGTTGACACTTGGAACCAAAAATTTAGTGCCCACTTGCGATAAACACAACGGTAATCGTGGGCACACTCTTGTGTTGCTGTGACGGCATATTAAACTCGCCACATAAGACTGATAGAAGGCAGCTGCTGCGAGATGAGTAGCTAGTAATGCCTGCGAGAGCAGAAAAAGGTCGCAATTGCTGAAGCGCTCATTCCATAGCCTTATACAATATAGCAAGAGGGGAATTTGGCACTGCGATCGTGTGCCCTCATGAGAATAATGGGAAGTACAGACTTCGGATTGGATTGCATTAGCTTGCGAGCTGTCTACGAAAATTTTTTTCTACAGTTTTAGTTTCGGTCTTGCACAGCGTAGATAGGGGGGGTGCGGTGCAAAGTACTGAAGTAGCCCCTCTATAATTCAAAGAGGCCGAAGCCCACTAGGTCTCTCAATTCGCTGCGACGTTGAAGCTTTACCGTTTGTATTTGACACTAGGCAATGCGTCGTCCACTCACAACTGCGCATAGATGTAGCATCCCGTACCAGTGCAGAATATGTGCATCTAGTTCACGTTCTTTTATAATCACTTCTTGTCGAAAATTGTTTATATCGACTGTGAAATGACGGCAAAACTAAGTAGACGCACCGTCAAGCTAATCTGACTCCACTTCACAACAAAACTAGAGATGCGTCGAGAGCCGACCACTCAGACAGACGTACCTAGCATCGCAGCAGACGATGTGTTCAATGTTTCTCACTTATTACTGTACTGTTATTTATATAAGAATGTAACGCGTACTTTTGAGAGTGAAACAAATACGTTTGTTTTCAAGTGTTGTAAAAAAATAATTCATTATACCTTGATGCCAAATCTTGAAAGCACTGGCAGAGCAATGAATACCCGGGTAGTTTAATTTGTCCAGATTTCACTCTTACCTCATAATCATCAAAGATTCTTGCAGTAAAATTTGCGTACAAAAGAATGAAGCAAATTTGAACTGAATATACTTTCATACCACTTTGTTTTACACTCGACGAACAAGCGTCGCAAATCTAAAGAACGCACTCTATCCGAAGCAGATCTGAAGAATGTGCTTCCCATAATTTTCATGGGGGCATACGAGCACTACTGAAGGAGCCCGCATAGACACTGGTGCCAGATCCCCTTTGGGTATTATTGTATGAAGCTCTGTGGCTGATTCCAAGATGGTCAATGGCCACAGCAAGCATATTTATTAATACTAAATGGACCCTGCAACACTTTTTCAGCATGCTCAGAAAACGTTGTCGCTGGGACACACAAGACAGCGATAGGACACACAAGACGAAGGCTCCAGACAACACGTGAGCCAAATATAAATTCACAATAAATTAGCGATAAATTACAATAAATTATTACACAATAAATTATCAAAGTCAGCTAAAATTGCTTTCTATTTTCTTTACAAATGACGTAAGACGCTACAAAACCACTCCTAGAAAGCCCATCTATCATCCGTTAGCTGATTTAAATATGGCGTGCTTGGTCGTCACGGGAGGCCGCGACTTGTCCACGCGCGTGCACGCGATCACACCGAGAAAGCCGCGCATTCGAAAAAAAAAAGTGGCTCAAGGTCACGAGGACCACTTGACGTATTTTCTTTGCGTCTGCCATACCTCCCTGCTTAGCTTCCAGCGCTTTCATGGGGACGAGAAAAGAGAGATTGCAATTGCAGCATGCGATAAAACTTTGGAGCTCCGCTCACACTGGACTGATTCTTAAATTTTTTGCGGCGTTGAATTCCTGAGGCAATAAGCTCTTTCTGTATATTAATTCCATGGATAGCTGAAAAATTATTTCAAGGCCCCTTTAAATTACATGTGTGTACTAGTGGATCGCCTTGGAATATCCAGAATTTCAAGGACCCAAAAGCTCTTGCCTTTTCCCTAATTCTGCATGTATGCATAACTTGTGGACGTTGTAGGCGCGAAATACCAGCTAATGTCTCAATGTAGTATATGGCTCAATTTATAGAACAGTCGTTACGTTGGGCGACAAGACAAAAGCAAGAATGTGACTGTGTCCATGCCAACGCTCGCTCGTGTATTTTATAATATAACCCAGTGACTGTAATTCTACAGCACTCTAAAGATCATTTGGCGCTGTTTTGTGAGTCATGACACGTATATGATTCTCTTTAAAGAAGCACATGAAAACCCTTTGGAAATCACTATGCTGTCGTCGGAGAGTCCTGAAGCCTACAAGAGAGTGTCTCTTAAAGAGAGAGTCAAATACGCGACAAGCCAGGACTCACCGATAAAAGTAGCACTCACTTTCTCTTTTTTTATCTTAAAAAGTGTATCAGATTGCCTCAAGATACGTCGAAAAAGAGACTTGTGATCTCTACATCGATCATGAGAAGTGCCCACAAAATCTTAATTCACATTTATAACTTGCTGTTTCGTCTACAGCACCGTACGCCTACTAGTATATGAAAAAAGAAACAAAACAATTCAGATAGGTGTGCATTTCAGGTATTCTTGTGTGTGCTAAGAAGCTTAACGCACGGCAGAATTGTGCGATTGTTTCTCGAGACTCGAGAAAGTTTCACACTGCATGCCTTGTCGTTTACCTTGAGCTCCTCATTTTCTTGATAGAGGTCCACAGTCTCCTCGTGCATGAGCCCGACCCCGTTGAGCGAAAAAGAAGCGGTGACGCCCCTGGCACGAGCCCTGTTGTCCCACATGTCGCCTTGTCCCTTGATCACACGATAGAACTGGAACGATAGGACACACAAGACAGCGTATAGTGAAAAGGCGCCCATGATGTCGCTCAGGACTTCCACTCGCGAAGGGTGACGGAATAGCTCCTAGATCGCTACAGCCTAATGTTAATCCCGTGTTTAGAAACATAGCCGAAACTCACTAAAGGAGCGTTGTAATTTTTTACGCGCAACAAAACCCTCTCCATCGTCCAACCACAGAGCTTAATAACACTCCTTAATGACGCAAAATATTCAGTGCACTCAATGTTTTTAGGTAAATTTTATTTGAGCATATATACTTCTCAGAAAGTGACCAATTTTTCGCTAATATGTAGCAAGAGAATTGAGGTTAGGCTTGATTGCATTCCTAAATTACGTTTGAAAGCCAAATGAATGTTTAGTGCGATAGTAGACATTCTTGTAACTACCAAGACTTTTTGCTTCAGCATATACAATACCTATATATTTTTAAAAAGTCATCAAGAAAATAAATCGGTAAACTGCTATCAATCCCCCGAAGATGAAATGTAAGGAGTAATCTTAACTGGCATTTTGACCGCCAACTTGAAAACTATAGACTGTTTGGTGTGTACAGCCGCGCAAACCATGTCGCGCAAGTAGTATCTTTTTACTATGTGCCTTCGCCCTGAGAATGAAGGGTTTCAAAAAGAGCGAGGGCCAGTGTATTCTCCCAAAACGCATGCCTATAAAACAATTTGTTGCAACGGCACTGTGTCATAAACCAATAACAGACAGAAACGTCGCCACTGGCATGCTAGTTGAATATGTAGTCATACATAGATTTTATCATCAGCATCAGTTCGACTACGCCCAATGCAGGGCAAAAGCTTCTCCCATGACTCGCCAATCAACCCGGTCTTTCTGCTAGCACGTTATGCCTGCGAACTTACGAATTTCATAGGCCCACCCAGCCTTCAGTCTCTACTTCATGCGTTTGCCTTCTCTGGGAATCTATTCAGATACCCTTAATGACCAGCGGTTATCCTGTCTACGGGCTACCTGCCCAGCCCATATAATTTTTTTCTTCTTGGTTTCAACTATGATGTCCCTCACCTTGGTTTGTTCCCTGATCCATTCTGCTCTCCTTTGTCTCTCAAGATCACATCTATTATTTTTCTTTCCATCACTCGCTGCATCGTCATCAATTTCGGCTGAATCCTCTTGTTAAGCATCCAGGTTTCTGCTCCATAGGTAAGTACCGGCTTTATGTAGTTGTTATATACCTTACTCTTGAGTGTTAATCGCAGATTACCATTCATCATTTTAGAAAGCTTGCCGCATGTGCTCCACCCCATTTTTATTCCTCTAGTTACTTCAACGTCGTAGTTCCGCTCCACGGTTATTACCAGTACTAAGTAGACGTAGTTCTTTACAACTTCAAGTGCACTATTGCCTATCTCGAAGCGCTGTTCTTTCCCGAGGTTGTTGTCATTGCTTTCGTTTTCTGGAGATTAATTTTAAGACCTATCTTTCTGCTCCTCTTGTTGAACTCCGTAATGATGAGTTGCAATTCGTACCCTGAGTTACTCTGCGATGCGATGTCATCGGCAAAGTGCAGGTTACTAAGGCACTCTCTATTAACTCTTATAGCTTACTCTTCCCCCTCTTGACCTCCTAAAACCTCCTGTAAGCACGCGTTAAATAGCATTGGAGAGATCCTCTTCCTCTTCCTTAAACTCTTCTTTAATGGAATTTTGTCGCGTTCTTTATGGACAACTACGGTAGCTGTGGATCCACTGTACGTTTCTTCCAGTACGTTTTTGTAGGACTCGTCGATGCCCTGATTTCGCAGTGCCTGCATCACCCTGATGCCTTGTCTGAGTCAAACGCCTTCTCGTACTCTATGAAGGCTATGTATAGGGGTTGGTTGTATTCCGCGCATTTCTCAATCAACTGACTGATAGTATGAATACGGTCTGTTTTAGAGTAGCTTGTATGAAACCCAGCTTAGCCCTTTGGTTGATGAAACCCTAATGTCGCCTTAATTCTATTAGCTATTATTTTTGTAAATAGTTGGTAGAGAACGGACAGTAAGCTGATCGGCCTGTAATTTTTCAAGTCATTGACGTCTCCTTTCTTATGGATTAAGATGATGCTGGCATTCTTCCAAGATTTCTAGTACCCTTGCCGTCAAGACACACTTCGTATATAAGGAGGCCAGTTTTTCTAGCACAATTTCTCCGCCATCTTTCAGTGACTCCGTTGTTACCTTATCCTCCTCAGCGGCTTTGACTTTTTGCATTTATTCTATAGAGTTTTTCTTACGTTTCCTGTCGTTACTGGTAAGATATCGAATTCCTCTGGACTATGATTGCTTCTTACGATATTATACTCGTTGCTTCTGTTTCCGTACAGCTCTCTTCAGAACTCCTTCACAACGTCAACAATCCTTGGTTACGACATTACCTTTCTTGCTTATATGCATGCATCCGATTTTTGTCCATCCACAAGTTTGCCTTCGCAGCTTTTATGCTTCTGCCGCTTTTTACAGCCCGCTTGCTTCTCTCCATGTTATACCTTTTGATGTCAGCTAACTTACGCCTATTGACTAACTTCGAAAGCTCCACTAACTCAATTTGGCGGTTGCATTTGAGGCTTTGATGGTTTGTCGTCTCTTAATGAAACTTTTCGTTTCCTGACATAGTTTTCCAGTTTTCTGTATAGTGACTGTATACCTCTGACTTCCATTGCACACTCTTTAACGATATTAATAAGATTATCGTTGATTGTGTCAACGCTAACGTCGGCTACCTCGTTTAGAGCCCCACATTTACTCTGAAGCAAAGCTATGAACTGCTCAACTTTTTTTCTCATCACTAGCTCATTGATTTGCTTCTTGCATTTAGGTCAATGCCTTTGCTTTTTTTTTGAAAAAGTTTAGGTGAATACGAGCTCTTACCATTCTATGGTCAGAACATTGGATTTAGATTACTTCGATTTAAGTACACATTAAACAACACAAAGTGGTCGAAATTTCTCGAGCCCTACCCTGTGGCCTCTATCAATCATATTGAGGTTTTGGAGCGTTAAACTCCCCAAATATTATCATTACAATGATTCGGTTGGCTGTACCTATATACCTTTTCACTCTTTTTTTTTCATTTAGTAGAACGGTTGCAATTGAACGACGATATACGTATAGTATGTCTTTTTACTGATATTCTTGTAATTGTACTTTTTGGTTTATAGGGAAAGGCTATCGTTGGATATCGCTTCCTGTGCTTCAGAAAGAAACGTCTCTCCCTCTGTAATCAAGACTTCACTCACAGTTCATTCATTCATTCATTCATTCATTCATTCATTCATTCATTCTTCATTTCCAACAAGTCTTTTACAACCAGTTGGGGGGTTCCTCATGCGAAAAGCGGTTGAAAAACCACTTGAGAGTGCCTGAGGCCCCACGTACATGGCAGCAGTTTCCACTGTTTCGTCCACTCAGTACGAAGAAAATAAAAGAAAGATGTCCGCCTAATTGTACCCGAGGTACCGGTTATATTGTAAAAGAACGGTGTTTTTTTGACGCGCAGCCAGAACGAGAAAAATCTTCTTTTCAGATTTCATAAACATTCGATTCCCTCTCGCTTATGAAGACGAAAGACAGAGAAAAATGTTTGCTAAACACTGACACATATAAACAAAAACCCACATGCATTAATTCCACTCTCAAATTAAAAGTAAAAAAATCATTGGTGATATTAAATGGTGCCCCGAGGGTATTTGCTCTGAAAGACGCACTACATGCAGTTCTATCGTTTTGTATTACAAGAACTGCCCAAATCTGCCATCAACGTCAGCTTACTATTCTCAGTTGCGCTTGAAGGAACTATTAGGCTGATAATACGCTCAGCTAGATTGGTGATTCAGCCATTTAAAATAACAAATACGTCAGTCTTACTATTAGCACCTAGCGAAAAAAGTCGCCGCTAAAACGAGACACTTCGAGCTGTTGGAGGCATCTTATTCGTATCTGTGACATCATCAACTTCCCGCCCCAGCTCATTGCTACGTGTCCACAATGGTGAGCTTTGTTTCTTATCTCTAAATATAAACTATATTACAATTTGAAATAGAAAAGAACAAAGTCTGTTCACGTTTGAGATTTTTTTCACAGCTAATAGGAACCAAACATGAAGAAAGAGTGTTTTATTCATGACGTTGCAAAACCACACCTTGCAAAGCATGAAAAAAACTACATTTGGTCTTCTTTTGTCTATAGCTAATAAATATTTTTTCAAAAGTTAATCAAAGTTATTCTTTGATTTATTACTCTAATGAGGCCCAGTGTTGCCCTTTTGAATACTTCGATTGATTGATATGTAGGGTTCAACGTCCCAAAACCACCATATGATTATGAGAGACGCCGTAGTGGAGGGCTCCGAAAATTTCGACAACCTGGGGTTTTTTAACGTGCACCCAAATCTGAGCACACGGGCTTACAACATTTCCGCCTCCATCGGAAATGCAGCCGCCGCCACCGGGATTCGATCCCGCGACCTGCGGGTCAGCAGCCCAGTACCTTAGCCACTAGACCACCGCGGCGGGGCCTTTTGTGTACTTTCACAAATGCCCACTTTTGACGTATCCTTTTATTTGCCCAGTTACCCAGGCGCTCTGTGCGCGCTCTTGCACTGTAAGCAATGCAACTGTATTAGGGGTCGCAACTTTCCAGACCTCATGAACATTAACCAGCCAGTGCGGATAACCTTCCTGCCTGTGTATATTATTAAAGACGATAGTCTTTCGAGGAGACCTTCGACGCAAAAATTTTGGTCTGTCTGTGTGTCTTTTTTGTGTATCTGTACATTTTTCTGTTTGTCCGCGGTAACAATAAACCAAGCGGTTCCAATCGATATTTCAAACGGCCAACCCCATCCGCAGCACCCACCAGTCGTGCTCAGGTTTCCGCGCTCAAGCTTGTGCGATTGTCAATTAAAAAGTAATTATTGTCTATATCTGAGGCACCATAACAAACACGTCAGTATTATCTATGTGTGGCTTTATACTAGAGAAGGCATACATGAGTAATTTTAAAGACTGTAGCGTTTATCACGCTGCACAGACAATGTAACGCGATGCTCAAAAAGGCAACTGTTTTCAAAGCTTTGCTAAGACGACACAGTGGTGGCACCTGCCCATTGCTCTGCGTTCTACACCTTATCGCCTATGAAACATGTGACCGCACGCCTTCCTTCGTTTTTGAATATAAGTGCCAGATAGCACTCGTGTCTAACGTGTCTTGATGCGCTCTTTTGCCTTCGCTGTAGCGATTGAAACTCTCTAACGCCGCGCCTCCAGAATACAATTTACCAATTTTCTGGCGCAGAACATCAAATGAAGGCTTTGCTCACTCTTTCAAGACGCAAGACTATCGTCGTTCGACGACATTTGCAGTAAAACATGCAGATACAGGGTCATTTTTTATCTCCTTCTCTATCAACTGCACTCTTAAATTTCAAAGAAATAATTGCCAGAACTTTCTGTTCCAGAACCCCAATGTGATTATGAGGAACATGTTAGTGGAGGGCTCCGGAAATTTCGACCATTGGGTGTTGTTTAACTTGCACCAAAATGTAAGTGCACGAGCTTATAGCATTTCGCCTCCATTTAAATGCAGCCGCATTGGCCGGGATTGAAGCCCGCGAGCTTTGGGTCCGAAATCCAGTTCCCTAATCACTATATAGACCATCGCGGTGGGTGGAAACAATACCTCATAGATGTCTTGGAGCCGTAAAAGTACTAATAATAATAATAATAATAATAATAATAATAATAATAATAGGAAGAGGAAGAAGGAACGAGAACTGCTTCGAGTATGCACCACGTGGTTTATAAGGCACACATATTACTCCTGCAAATGACTTCCGCATAAAAAATAACTGCTTAACTGCTGTGCTATTCGCGACAATTAACGATGCTGTGAGAATGCATTGATTAACCAGGCAACGTCATGGCAGGCCCTATCTCGACAGTCTGCCTTCCTCTTATGAAAAGGCCCCCAGTTTTAGGAGTAAGAGAAAAAAAAAGTCCCATACCTTTGGTCCGAAGATTAGGATGACAGTAACAGTGGTGCTCAGCTGCGTTCGAATAAATCCGAACAGGTACTTCACATCGGGGCTCGCGCTCGGCAGAATCACCAGGCTGAAAATGAAAGAATGGCAAGAAAGGAAGAAAAGCTGTCTTAACCATTGCTTGTACGTTACTTATTCTAGCTTGTTAACTTCTAAGCTTGAACAACGATAATGCCAGTTTTTTACAATGCAGAGATGATGTATCTTGAGTAATATCTCGTTTTTTTTTAAGTTTTTGATCGAGCTGACAGTAGTTTAAATATGAAAGATCACCACTCACCAAGCTTGTTCATATACTTTCATTATGACCAAGCTACAGTCGATGCGGTAATGCTACGATGTGTACAGTGTACAATAAATATCACGCAATGCGCATATAGCGCCTCACTTTCTTAGATAATTTGCCAATTCCGGGTGCTCAAGCTTTCTCTTCCTAAGCATTGAAGTGACAATCCTTTGAGATATCGCAATTGTAGCTGCAAAGTTTGCATGGCTCTGTACATCAGCTCAAGGCAAGCACATTTAAGTGAACAAATTTCATAAAGTAGTAATATTAAAAGAAATACGTGGCATATTTTACGACGTTTACAGCCACGAAGCTGCTCGAGTGTGGTACTCAATATTGATGATTTGATTGATTTGATATGTGGGCTTTAACGTCCCAAAACCACCATATGATTATGAGAAACGCCGTAGTGGAAGGCTCCGGAAATTTCGACCACCTGGGGTTCTTTAACGTGCACTCAAATCTGAGCACACGGGCTTACAACATTTCTGCCTCCATCGTAAATGCAGCCGCCACAGCCGGGATTCGATCCCGCGACCTGCGGGTCAACAGCCGAGTACCTTAGCCACTAGGCCACTGCGGCGGGGCGTGGTACCGAAAAATATTCAGCATTTTAAGGCACGTTACCTATGTTGTGCCAAAAAAAAGGTTGCTTGTGTAAGGTGAATATGTATCATATTTTTGCATGATAACTAAAACAAAACGCAAGCACTTCGAAACAGAATTGCTCGTTAAATTTCGAGATTTAACATAATCACTCATTTGGCATAATTTCGGTGAGCAATCTAATTGCTTCCATCCACTGACACCACACAGATTGGGTTGTACAATAAATCTCTCATTGAAGAAACGAAGTGTTCTTATTTTTTCAAAACCTTTCTTTACAACTGAAGAATGTGTGAATATTTTATGGTTGCTTTCTTTTTTTTTCTTGAAGCTTGTCATGTGGTTTATACAAATAATTTTATGAGAAAAAGTGCCGCAATTGCTGCCTTGATCTTATCGCCCTTATGGCAACGCCTATGCAAATAACTGACTAATTGATCCCTTGATAACTTTTCAACACTTAACATCCTCATTCGAGTAGCTTTGATTTCTGATAGCAACCCCAACCTGCGGGGAATATCTTAAGTAGACGTTGTAACAGAACACATAGAGCACTTCACTGGAAATTCAGAAGAAAACACACAGGTTCAGCTGAATTCTTCAGAAAAATCTTTACTAGCGTGCAGCGAAGCTATACTGCGTGATCTGAAGGAATCACCTTTCTAAAGTACAAACACAACCTAATGGACATAACTGGACTGTTTTCGTGTGGAGAGCAATGCAGCTTGGATTTGGATGGACATTGAAGGACCATAAGCGGTCAAAATTATAATTTCTTGAGTTTTACATGTCAAAACAACTATATAACTTGACACCTTATTGGAAGGCTCCGAGAGTTGCTACCAGCTACGTGCACGGGCCATTTTCGCATGGCATTCCGGCCAGAAGCCCAGTGCCGAAAAAAGTGTTCGACCTAGGTGGCTCACGTGGTCAAAATATATCTGGAGCTCTCCACTGCAGCGTATCTCGTAATGATATTGTAGTTTTGGCACAAAAAAATCCCAGCTAATAAAAGTGGAGATTTTTCTTAGTTTCAAGAATACCATAACCCATTCTTCACTACTGAAAGCCAAATCTCGAAAATAATGTATACGGCATTACCCAATCTTTATTTACAAATCTGCATAGGTTTTCATTAGGTCGTAATATAGCAAACAGTCAGTTTCATAGTTCATTCTCAGTAGCACTGAGAATGAACTATGAAACTGACTGTTCGGAGGCATGCTAGACACCAGAAGCCATGGCAAAATATTACGTGCTCATTATAGAGGTACGTAAGCCAGATAGGAAGTGTGTGGGTACGTGAGCCACGCATATTCTTCAATTACGGACAACTTTGAGATTAGTAGCACGATAAGTGGTGCAATTGCGCAATCAGCGAAGAAAACGAAAGGGGGGCCTTGGGGAGTCAACTTCCGTGTTTACGTTCTGGGTACAATGAATACGCATGCCGGAACATGAGTCTCCACTGCCACCGCCACTATAATAATGCCACTTTCGCAGGTCAGTCGTGATAAGCTGCGACCTGTGCCTCCAGACGCGATAGCTTGCAGAATCACCGGAGGCTCCCACGAAAAGGAGATACTTCGGGTGCTCATTCCGCCCACGAAGTCTGCGGCCGTCGCCACGACGCCCTTGCGATTCGGCGGCCAGATAAGCGGCATCACAAGCATTCGCCGAGGGCATTGCTGTCGATGCTTGTGAATGAGCGATGCGGGAGCTAGAACGACAGAGTGAATCGGAGGGTAAATTGGTGTGGAATCTGAACTGACAAAGAGAGATAAGGATGACGAAGCGGTCGTCAAACTGTGGCACGCAACATGTGACGCCACCACAGTTTCACAAGGTGGAGTGTCTGTATGTACAGCACCCACCGACACGGTGGATTCTGAGAATCCGGCAAGGAACAAGGGCAAACCCGCGCTTATCAGGCGCCGGTGAGCTGGCCTCACGAAGCCACGCGCGCCCGCGAAATGTGGAGGCAGGTGGATGGCAAGGCTGCTTACTGAATCAGCATCATGATGAGGTTGACTATGGTAATGTTGTAGATTGCCCAGCTGATGTGCTTCGCCTCGTTGAAAAAGGACTCGGCGTTGCGCACGTTGTAGCAGACCCTGATGCCCCACAAAAGGAAGAGGAACTCCCCTGCGAAAAGACAGGAAACAGAGTCATGTCAGCTTGTTGTATGACGTCACGACATCGTCTCGTTAAATGGAAGAGGCAAGTTTTGGTTGCAACGATAATAATTGCATGGATGGCCGGATAATGACTAATTTATGAAGGTCTTAGGTAAGTGATGACCCTAAGATGCGCTATAGAGGACATAAAGTATGCTAACAGCCTGTGTGAAAATTATCGAATATATCAAGTCGCAACCCACAACACACTTCTACAAGCGATATTCTTGTTTTCTCGGATCAGATAATGTCTACGCAGACATTCTATGCACCTAGTATTTCATCTTTCCGCTAAGTCAGAAAAATGATTTCCACTTAGCATATTTTGGGCGTAATAGAAAAAGCAAATATGTATGAAAGGTGCACCGTTGCAAATTTATAGTAATGTCACATGAGCACTGACTCCTGGACATGGTATAGTGCCTAATGTAAGTGAAAACTCCTCACGGGACGCAAGCGCCAGAGCACATTCCTGTGTGAGCGCCGACTGCAACCCCGTTTGCTTGGAGATGAACATGGTCTGCCCGCCTTTATCTGTGTGATTCCATATTCATGAACCCAGTGTGATGCCCATCGTCGCATCGCTGATCTGATTCCTTCTCATCCACTCTAAAAACCATTCATACCTTGGGGTCAACGCTCGTGCGACATCATAATTATAAAAGAACTGTGAAGGTGAATGGGCATACTTTGTAAAAAAATTTTATACATATGGTAACGTGCTTCGTTTTCTAAACATAATCGTCATCTACAATGGCGTAGCCCCAACATTTTCCCTTTTGCATGTATATATGCAAAGTGTATTAAATAATTCTTCCAAAAGCCTCAAAAATTAAGAAAGTGGGATATTTCCTCGTTGCCTTTACAATTCATCTTTCTGTAGTAGCAGGCACCTAAATATGCTGAATCATTTGGGACAGTATTTAGGAAAATTAAATAACTTTTAATTAGAGCAGTTATGAGATCATATAAAATAGGAAAATTGAAGTTCGTCATGCAAGTTACCCATCAAAAGTATGCCGTGCGGTATCTAGCAATTCTTCTGGTGCAATGAAATTTAAATAAAGTGAACGGCCAAACCAGCACGAAGCACGGACGAGCCCAACAAGCGGAAAACCAGAATCGCATCACGATTCAAAACAACAGTTACCGAGGTGTTGTGCTTGCACCTTTGTGAACGTATGTGCGCCATGCGTGCTATAATTTGTAAGTGCAGCCCGCTCATTCACCAAATATAAGTCGGTTGATGTTTGTTACAACGACGCTCATTCATTTTAGATGTCTTAGAAGAATGTCACAATTACGCTCTTTAGCGTTTCAGTTTCGCTTTCATCGCTGAAATTAATCAATTTCGTTACATGGCAATTATTACATCAGGCATTGGCTCTTCGCATGAAGGGCTTCAATTCTCGTATTTACCATAACCGCCTAGCCCTATTTCTTATATTATTAACTAACTTAACATCCCGAATGATGTCTTTAGCCATCTTAAGATGCCTTTGGTTACTGAAGTAGTTGTGAAGGCATTGAACAAATATCGCAATTCCCTGATTTTTGAGGATTTTGGACCCATTTCTTGAAATACCCTACATTTGTAAACACAAGCAAGCCTAAGCCCAAACACACATATGATATAGTATGAATGAGTCCCCTTCACTCTTCCCGAAAAAAACTTTTGGCTACGTCCTTCGTCATCTAGTTGAGACCATAGAGTTTACTAAAGAAGTAGAGGGGACTGTGGCGCTACGATCATTCAGTGACTGTGCGAACGATGAGTATATAGTACACAAATTTCTTAGTCTTCATAATTGCTGGCGGCGAATCGCACTTGTGGCTTTCTTTATTGCTGTGTTTTGGTTTCGTTTCGAAGGAAAGAACCAACGTTTTTGAACTTCGTGACCCAATTTGAAGTGGTAAGCCCTAACGAATAAGGTGGCGAAGCGCAACTGCTGAACATTTGTCGATTGTTGTTTCGGGATAAAGCAGCTCCCAGCCACATGAACACACAGGAAGCCAGAAGAACGAAGATTAGACAAATCCGTGTACAACCCATCCTTCTTATGCTCGCTGATGTGCCGTGCGTTGCGGCTCTCATAGACGCTAGCACCAGAGTTCCGTCTACTGTGTATTTAGGAAACTCTATGGTTAACACAGGAAGAGAAAAAAGTGAGAGAATATCAAAGAAACAAGGCAGGCAACTCAGCTCCGCTTTTCCTACAGGCTTGTCACCACTCGTGCGATGTTCCCTTAACTTTTTCTTTCTTTTGTTTTGCCAGCAAGATGTGCGACATTAAATAAGTGAATGATTTCTGTAAAATGTCGGAGTGAGGGTACACGTGTCGGCTGGTGAAACCCTGAGGATAACAGAAGAAAAAACGTGGGTGATCCCCTTATAGATACATAGGAATCAGTATAACGCGAACGTCAAACGTGTCTCCACAGATGTATATGAGCGTTTATTGATTGTGCACTGTTTCAGCACCAGCAACACATTGCAATGTCACGTTAGGAAGGACAAGCAGCTCGCAACTTGCAGCCCCCACCTCAAGCAGAAAGCGTGCACGAAATTAGCATACACAAGACAAGCGCGGACTAACAATCGCAATAGCTCGACACTTAAAGCGCGCTGTTCAAACGAAAATGACGACGCACGAAAGGAGCACACAAGTATACAAAGGACAAACGCAAATAACTGTCACAATTCTTCCTGCGCCATGTGCTAGAGGTGCGCACCTTTCGTAAAAACGGCCGTGACAGCGTGAGAACTAACCTCCGTCCTCTCCCGAATTAAGATTCTAGTAAGCGCGCGCCCATGAGATACCATGCTCCGTGGAGGTGACGCTTCGTAGAGGAGACGACCTTTAGAGCGCATCCAACGCGATCTTATTGCGCCATCTCGCCCCTGACAATGACAACGCGCTACAGTTTTCGAAGATCTGTGGACTGCCAAACGGTGTACGGTGTATATAAATGGCTTGCCATTAATATACTTGACAACGAACGCTTTCTGGCGCAGTGGTTAGCGCCGTTCGCTGAGAATCGTGAGGTTGGTCGTTGAATTGATTCCGCGCGACAAATGTCTGCCTTCTGTGTTTTTTTTTCTTTGCAACTCTTGGCGTACATTTTTCAACGTCACTTTCGTGACAGAATACGTCAGCGGAGCCGTGATGGACCCCGGCACAAAACCTTTTAGTATTTAAAAATGGAAGACGCTTGAGCTTCGTCTGCCAGATTAGGACGCGATAGCGTAGTCAGGTTCTTCGTGCATCAGCGTCTCAATTTCTTGCTTAGCTTCACTTTCTGGTGCATGTCAGAACTGTGCCGTAAGGAAAAGGTCGACAGTACACGTAACACTGGCCATTTCAAATTATACAAACGTGATGTGTAACCGACCGTCATAAAAGTCAAGCTGACACTCAAACCAAGATATCCATTAAGCTAACGTGGCATTTGTGTCATAGGGGTGTATAAACCTAAGTCGGCAAACTCACTTATGAGTGGACTCACTCAGACTTTCATCGACCCCTGAGCCCGAGTCTGAGTGAGTCTGCATGAAAAATATTTTTATAAATCCCAGTCCGAGTGAGTCATGTCGAAGAAAACTGTTGTGATTGTGAGTCCGAGTGAGTTCGGCTCAGGAAAATTTTGGTTAGTCCAAATCTGAGTGCACGCAAAAGCGCAATATATATTTCTTGAGTGAGTTTGAGTGATTTACACTTTACTCTGCCGACCTAAAGTCCTATCTAGTCATTTCCAGCATTACTATCAATCTCGCCTGGATTCACGTTCATACTTACATCTACTCAAAGGTATTCGCAAACAGTGTTTTCATACACTATGCCATATTTATTATTCAGAGGCGCGAATAAAGTAGTGGGTTGCCTTGACCTCCCCTCCTACAAATCTTCCAGGTAAGTTCTTGATAAATATATTTTATGCTTTTATGCTATCATCACTTCTAAGAAAAAATACCCTACTGGTATTCAGGCACTCAAAACTCGTTGTATAAGATAAAGACACTGTGTCGAACCGTGCCAAAAAAAAGCACCAATTACGTCAGATATTGGTGCTTAAGAGCATTGACACCATGGTCTGAAAAGCTAATTTTACACTAACGGACTCTTGAGTGGACTCACTGGGACTAACTCAGACTCGCATCGAGCCATGAGTCTAAGTTTGATGCGTCTGTGTGAGTAATGTTGTGGTCAGTTTGAGTAACAGTGATTCGGGCTCAGCAAAACTTTTTTGAGTCTGAGTCCGAGTGAATCCACAGCTCAAAATATATTTCATGAGTGAATCTGAGTGAGCTACCCAAGTTTTGCGGACCTATATCTATATAAAAAATGTTTATTACCTAGTTAAACATTTTGATAGCCAGCACGGCAACTACAAGTGACTATATTTCAGGAACATAATGTCTACATCGGGTCTTTTTTTCAAAGCAGTTTCAAGACCTGGTCTGTCTCAGAGGTAAAATGACTGCTTGCCGCGCAGAATACTTTGGTCCAATTCCTGCTGGAATCCTCAATTTTCTTATTTGCATTCACCGGGTCAACTTGGTGGATGCCGCACTTTCCTGAAGCCCTTCCGTTTAATTTACCAACGTCTCTGCTCACCTTTTCTGGGTAGATAAAAACTCTTGATCGCTCGTGGCGCATACCTGCGTACCGCGGCCTATGACAATAATGCGATAGCCTTAAAGAGCTCCTAACCTCCCTGTCCTTCCTCATTTATTCCTCCTTAAAGAGCTCATTTCACAGAAATTTCGACGTTGGTGTCTGCGTTGGTGTCAGTGGTGACGCCGGTGTTGTTTGTTGTGAGCGAAAAAGCTTCATCTTGGGCGTGACCGAAAAATCCACATATATGCAAATAACATAAATATTATAAATTCACGATCCGAGGGGGGATCGAACCCGAGTCGTTTGCATCACAAGCGACTGCTTTAACACACAGCCCACTGTCTGCTGGTGAAGGTAGTGAAAGTAACTTTCATGCTATGGTTTACATTTATTTTCGATGGAGGCGAAAATACTGTAGGCCCGTGTACTCAGATTTGGGTGCACGTTGAAGAACCCCATGTGATCAAAATTTCCGGAGCCCACCGCTACGGCCACTTTTATAATCATGTGGTAGGTTTGGGACGTTAAACACCACATATCAATCAATCTTTTAGAATCAAAGTTACGTATAGTATTCAGATACTCGCACCGTTATATGACTTCGTTTCAGTAAATACTGAGGTGTATGCTCTCACGTGAGTTCCGAGGTTACGTCAGACCCTAACATACTCTTTAAACGCCAGCGTAGTCGACATTCCTGGTAAGCCCATGGTGCGCGCGCAACTACATTCTTTAGAGACACGTGTCGATCCACTTCGTAAAGCTTAGCTCAAAGCCAGAAAAAAAAGGCAGCATGAACAATTGCTCACCAGTTGATTCGCATGAAACCGATTCCTACAAAGTGTGGGATCTACCAAATTTTTATTGTATAAAGCTGATCATCAATCAGACGATATAAGCAAACAGTTTTAGCCGTACTGATCAGGAAGCGAGGGTGTGATAAAGCTGACTTTCCTTACATATAAAGTGTCACGCAAGACAAGAAAGAAAGCGCCTACCAATGGCCATGGTGTGATCCCACCAGTTGTATTCGCACTGCTTAAACTTGAGCCCATGCCAGTCTTTAAGATAGATGCCATCAGGCGGAGAAGAAATGGTCCATGTCCCAAGGTAGATCGCCATCTCCAGCAGTATTGGGAACAGCCATTGCAACAGCTGCTTATCTGTCAACTTCAGCTTGTGCGCTGATTTGACGCGGTACGTCAGCGACACCCTGCAAGCAGAAAAGCACGAATGTGAATGACCGAGAGATGTTACTAGGATAGTTATTAGGAGGGCGAGCAGTTACACGTGACATATATCTGTTCATTACATAACTGCAAAATACATGCCTGCTTGCTCGAAGAGCAGCGCGGAGTAAATGTAAACGACTTACAATTGTACTTTCAGACAAGTCTCGGCTCAAAGCAGTTCCTCTACTCCAGCAAGTAGAGCACATTGCAGCTCCTTGAATAAGAATTTCCTATGAGTCGAATGTAATTTTCAAAAACATTTGTATTTATGTGCAGTGGAGTGGAGGCTAAGAGGAGAGGGTCCCAATATTCATCCCTGGGAAAAGTAAAAAAAACTGTCGTTGAAGTACGCCTATCACTTCTGTCAAAAGTTAACGCTACTGTCTACATTATAAAACATGGGACTCCTTCAGGCCACAGTAATTTCCAGGTGGTGCAACAAATTTTGAAAGCACTATAGTTGCTACAGCAGGCACTATTCTATTGGCATCCGGACTCGCTCACTGGGTTTCGTGCAGACCGTTTGTGCCCACGCGATCTCCGACGACAGCGCAGCTCTGGCCGAATGGGTTGGTCCTACGTCACCTCCTGCCGCCGGTCCCCTAAGACGACGACAGCGGAGCTCTGGCCGACAGGATTAGCCCTACGGCATCTCCTGTCACCGACAAGAGCTCTCGCAAGTGGTGCCCCGTCCTCGGACTCCTGTGACCGTGTTTCATCTTTCCTATCTTCTCTTCCGTCGTCGCTCGCTGTCCTTGCACATTTCTCTCTCTATATGTAACATTAATCCTATCCTTTTAATCCCTCCGTACCCCCATCCCTCGTGAGGTACTGTTGAAGTGTCGCACCCTGATACAGACAGTTACGGGGTTCACTTCTCTCTTCTTTTCACTTTTATAACCACAATCTTTATTGCGATTCTGTTAATAAAATTACACGTCTTGATGGAATTAGCGAAAGGAGAGAATTTTGAAGGATGGTTCCTTTGTTGGTACAACCTTAATAAAAATTAACAAATAATGACGCCAATGAAGGTGCAGGGGACGTTAATTGTACGGTTGATCTGTATTATATTGCTACCTGTAGGCTGCCACAAACCATAGTGCGAATGCGCGTGTGCGCCCGACGAAGAAGATGAGGCTCGCTGGCTGCTCGAGCTCGGAGCCAGACTGGCCAGTGCTGCAACCGCTCTTGCAAATATATTTTTCGAATATATTCGCAATACTTTGTCTCGTTACTCACGTAACATATTTGGTGGAGGTGGAACGATCCCCGTCCTCACCACGCAGCTCCGCAGTGGCCGCATCCTCCAGCTTCCCGCCATGGCTTCCAGTGACAACGCGTCCACTTCACCATCTGCGGCTTCTCCGACAACCTTTGTCGCCGTCCAAACACCACGTGATCCCGGGACATTTTCTGCGCAACCTGGCCTCGACGTCGACAAATGGCTTCGCCTTTATGAACGGGTCAGTCAAACTCACCGTTGGGACCCTACCATGATGCTCGCTAATGTTCTCTTCTACTTGGACGGAACCCCGCGTGTCTGGTACGAGACAAATGAGTCCGAACTCACCAGCTGGGACACGTTCAAGGAGAAGCTACGTGACATCTTTGGGGACCCGACCGGTCGCCACGCAGCTGCACGACAGGAGCTGGCTACCCGTGTCCAGTCGCCAACTGAATCGTATGTGTCATACATCCAAGAAGTTCTCGCTCTTTGCCGAAAAGTGGACGAGGCGATGTCTGAGGCTGAAAAGGTTGGACACGTTTTGAAGGGGATCGCGGACGACGCCTTCAATTTGCTGGTGTACACTAACGTCTCGACCATCGACCGTGTAATTCAAGAATGCCGCCGTTTCGAAACAGCAAAAAGCCGTCGGGTGCGCCCTCCTTTTTCTCGGTTGCCAAACACGGCGGCTACGTCCACCTGCTCCGATTCTACCGTCACACCGCCCTTTGAGCAGAGTGTAACGCGTATCGTTCGACGGGAACTTGAAGCAGCAAGTCCAGCGCCGCTTCAGCCCACTTCTTTCGAACATACGATACCGACAACCCCCGCGATCTCCGTTATTCAGGCGGTCGTACGACAAGAATTCGCCAACCGCGGGTTCCCTGATGCTTGCCCCATCTCTTGCCCCTCCTCCAGACCAATTCCCATTAATGCACCTCGACGTGACCCATTTGTTGCTCCACGATCTCGCAACCCGGCGGAATGGCGAACTCCTGACGACAAACCGATCTGCTTCCGGTGCCACCGCGTTGGACATGTCTCCCGCTACTGCCGTGCCTCCTGGACGCCGCCACATAGGAGCCAGTTTTTCGCACCTTATAGCCCATATGAAGATCTTCGCCGGTATTCGTCCAGCCGTACCGCCCCTGCTTTCGACACGTCTAACAGCCGCCTTCCTGCTCGTTCTCCGTCCCCTCAACGCCGTCGTTCCCCGTCGCCCCAGCCACGCCGCCATCACTCGCCGCCTAACTTTTCATCGTACCCGACGGAAAACTAGACAGTGCAGCCCCTGGAGGTAGTGCTGCATCATCCCTGTCTGAACCAAACCCTCCATTGACGCTTCATACGAACAAAAATCTTGTCGATGTACACGTGGACGGTATTTCTCTGTCGGCACTAGTCGACACTGGCGCTCATGTGTCCATAATCAGCGTTCATCTTTGCCGCCGCTTAAGAAAAGTACTCACGCCCCCTGCTACCGAAGCTGTACGTGTGGCCGATGGCGGCACTGTTCCTGTCATTGGCATGTGTACGGCTCGCATACGCATCGCCGACCGTTACATCCCTGTTCTATTCACGGTGCTCCAGAACTGTCCTCATGACCTCATCTTAGGGATGGACTTCCTGTCGACCCATTCTGCTCTGATCGACTGTTCCGCTGGTACTCTTTGCTTAGACCTTCCTCTTCAGCCGGATATTCACCCTGAACCTCAACACGGCCTTTCTGCCACAGACTTCCTCCGCTTACCGCCTAAAGCCCTCACATTCACCGAATTCGCCACGACCTCACCCGTATTGGATGGGAATTACATCGTCACGCCGATTCCTGATGTCCTACTGGCACGTGACGTCACCGTCCCTCACTGCATCGTAACTGTAGCCTCCAACCGGACCCGTCTACCCGTCATAAATTTCGGCTTCACAAAGCAAGTCCTCCCTGAAGGCATCCTAATTGCCACGTTGCGGTCCTTAGCCGATGATCACGTCACCACTTTCGCAGCCGACGCATGCCCCAATTTTCCTTGTCGCCCACTCGATGCCACATGCCTCGACATGTCAATACGTCCCATGATCGACCCTGACCTTCCCCCAGCGCAATCAGCCGCTCTCGCACGCCTTCTAGCTTCCTACCGTGACATCTTCGACCTTGACGACCGCCCACTCGGCCAAACTTCTCTTGTAAAGCACCGCATCAACACCGGTGATGCTGCTCCCATTCACCGTCGACCGTATCGCGTGTCCACGTCGGAGCGCCAGATTATTCAAGCTGAAGTGAATAAGATGTTAACTAAAGGCATTATTGAGCCCTCATCAAGCCCATGGGCGTCACCCGTCGTCCTGGTTAAAAAGAAGGACAACACATGGCGTTTTTGCATCGATTACCGGCATCTAAATCGAATCACCAAAAGGACGTGTATCCTTTACCACGTATTGATGACGCCCTCGATTGTCTCCACGGCGCACGCTACTTTTCATCCATCGACCTTCGTTCTGGTTATTGGCAGATTGCCGTAGACGAGAAAGACCAAGAAAAGACCGCCTTCATCACTCCAGATGGCCTATACCAATTCAAGGTTATGCCCTTCGGTCTATGCAATGCCCCCGCCACGTTCGAACGTATGATGGACTCTCTGCTACACGGGTTCAAATGGTCAACATGCCTGTGTTACCTAGACGACGTCCTCGTATTTGCACCTACGTTTGAGACCCACCTTGAGCGTCTGTCGGCCATTCTCGACGTCTTCCGCAAAGCTGGCCTCCAGTTGAACTCCTCGAAGTGTCACTTCGGCCGCCGACAGATTACCGTGCTGGGCCACCTTGTCGATGCTTCTGGTGTGAGACCGGACCCTGAGAAAATTCGTGCCGTCACGAGTTTCCCAGTACCCCAATCCGCCAAAGATGTCCGGAGCTTTGTGGGACTTTGCTCCTACTTTAGGCGGTTCGTGAAAGATTTTGCGGCAATCGCCCAACCACTTACCGATCTTTTGAAGAAAGGCGTTCCATTTTCGTGGGGGTCCACTCAAGCTGCCGCCTTCTCTCACCTCATAACACTTTTGACGACGCCCCCTATCCTCGCCCACTTTGACCCATCTGCCCGAACTGAGGTCCGAACTGATGCCAGTGGTCACGGTATCGGAGCCGTTCTCGCCCAATGCCAACAGGGACACGACCGCGTTATCGCGTATGCTAGCCGCCTCCTTACACCTGCAGAGCGTAACTATTCGATCACAGAGCGAGAATGCCTTGCTCTTGTCTGGGCGGTCTCAAAATTCCGTCCATATTTATATGGCACTCACTTTTCCGTCGTCACCGACCACCACGCGCTCTGCTGGCTTTCATCCTTAAGAGATCCTACAGGTCGACTTGGTCGCTGGGCTCTGCGACTGCAACAATACACCTTTTCTGTGATATACAAGTCTGGACGCCTGCACCAGGACGCCGATTGCCTTTCTCGCTATCCAGTTGACCCATCGGCCACCATACCTGACAACGACGCCTGCGTGTGCTCCGTTTCTCAACTGAACCACATAGCCGACGAGCAACGCCGTGATGCAACCCTACGAGCTATCATTGAGCGCCTCGACTCCTCCCCATCGAACCGATCCTATCGCTCGTTCGTACTCCAGAATGGCACATTATACCGGCATAACTTCCATCCAGACGGCCCATCTCTGCTGCTTGCCATACCCAAACACCTCCGCTTGGCTGTACTCCACGAACTTCATGACGTTCCTACTGCCGGTCACCTGGGTGTGTCCCGCACATACGACCGGATTCGCCGTCGCTTCTATTGGCCAGGTCTGGCACGGTCCGTCAGAAGATACGTCGCGGCGTGTGAGGAATGTCAGCGCCGCAAAACACCATCGACGCTTCCGGCTGGGCGCCTTCAACCACTCGATATTTCTACTGAACCTTTCTTTCGCGTCGGCTTGGACTTACTCGGCCCTTTTCCTCTGTCTTCTGCTGGCAACAGGTGGATAGCTGTGGCCACAGACTACGCCACACGCTACGCAATCACACGCGCCCTTCCAACAAGTTGCGCCACTGACGTCGCCGATTTTCTTCTACACGACGTGATCTTGCAACATGGTGCTCCACGCCAGCTGCTCACGGACCGAGGCCGCACATTTCTATCGAAAGTCATAGCGGACATCCTACGCTCTTGTGCAACACGCCACAGCTCACTACGTCGTACCATCCGCAAACAAATGGCCTCACAGAACGCCTGAACCGAACCCTAACTGACATGCTTGCAAAGTACGTTTCCTCAGATCACTCTGACTGGGACATCGCTTTACCATACGTGACATTTGCCTACAATTCTTCGCGCCACGACACGGCTGGTTACTCCCCTTTTTCTTGCTGTTCGGCCGCGAACCCACATTACCCCTCGATACGACGATTCCGTTACCAGCAGCTCCAACTTCACAATATGCTCTGGACGCCATCAGCCGGGCCGCCCACGCACGCGAAACCGCTCGTGCTCGCCTTCTGACCTCCCAAGCAAACCAACGGCGTCGGTACGACCAACGACACCGCGATGTGCACTTTTCGCCCGGTTCGTTGGTTCTGCTGTGGTCTCCGACCAGGCACGTTGGCCTGTCTGACAAGCTGCTCTCTCGGTACACAGGGCCCTACAGAGTGCTTCGTGAGGTGACTCCCGTCACTTATGAAATCACTCCTGCTGCCTCGCCGTCTTCATCCACCCCTAGGGCCAGCGACATCGTACACGTCACACGCCTGAAGCAGTACCACTCGCCCAATGATCTTGACATCTAGATGCGCCGAGACGGCGCCTTTGCCGACGGGGGTTATGCTACCTGTAGGCTGCCACAAACCATAGTGCGAATGCGCGTGTGCGCCCGACGAAGAAGATGAGGCTCGCTGGCTGCTCGAGCTCGGAGCCAGACTGGCCAGTGCTGCAACCGCTCTTGCAAATATATTTTTCGAATATATTCGCAATACTTTGTCTCGTTACTCACGTAACAATATTATTCACGATGTGAATGGGGGAAAAAGTAAAGTGTACAAAAAGACAACTTGCCGCTGCCAGGTACTCAACCTGCAATCGACGGATAGCGCACCTGATGTTCTACGGGCTACTTGATGGCATCTAGCAAAAAAAAGTGTGTTGCATACTGCCCGTCTAAGCTACGGATACGAACAGCACTGGTTAACACTCCTAGGTTAAGGAACGAGAGGCTGACTGGTGCCGTAACGCAGTTGGTAAGAGAGTCTGGCGAATTATTTGAAGGTTGCAGGTTCGGTCACTGCTAGGCGGGAAATTGTCTTTCAGTCCACATTACTTGCTTTCTACTTTACCATGATTGCTACAACGCAGTTAAAATGGTACAGTTATGGCCCCTTACATCTGCATTGAGTTCATTATCTGCTGGTTTTCACATTGAAGGAGTTTGAAGTTATCTACGTGTCGGCGAGATAATAGGTATAGTGCCTGCAGTAAACTTGATTTGCAGTATGAAATCAGTTGGAGTCTTTTGAAATCACAGATGTGCGTAGCAAAATAAGTTTGAAGACAAAGAAGATAACAAAATGGGCAGCTGGCGTTTACCTCGAACCGTACAGATGAATTCCCACCTCACAAACTTGAACACGAAATAAAGCTGGAGATACGAAAAAAAATCGCAGCGTTGGTAGAAAACGAGGACACATACAAAACAAAATAAAACAAATGAAGACTAGATTGCATGTAAATGATCAGAACATAAAAAAAGCTTTAGAAGTATGGTACAAAAACAGTCGGGAGGAAATAGCTGCACGAGAACGTACGAGCTTTGCTACTAATGAAACTCAACTTAACGAAGTGATGACCATGCTCTAATTATTTCGTTGAATCGGAAAGTTCGTAAAATCAACAAAGATATTTCTTGGCCCTTCAAAATCTAAAATTGTAACGCAGCAATTCCCAAAAGCTAGCCCGGCACTGAATTTCACGATAACATGCGCTGGCAAATATGAAATGTCCACCGGGGAATGCAAGTCACGTAAACGGTCATGTGAAGCGACAAGCATGGTGCAAAGCATAGGCGCACGCACGGCGGGCTGGGGGGAAGGGCTGCCCTCCTAGTAACCTAAGAAGCGGGGGGGAGGGGGGGCAGCCTGGCCAGGCTGCATTGACTTAATAGGAAGAGGGGGCACTCTGACAAACCTTTGACCCCCCGCCCCCCCCCCATTGCCTTTGAAGGGGAACCATGCACACGCTTATGTCATTCAAAGATTGCAGTGGCCACGCAAGCAATCTGAGCGAGAAGCTTGCGAGAAGGCTATGAGTGGCATACGTCACATAAGCCATTACATAAAAATAAAATTGCCCGCAGCTTCCCTCGGGGGAACACTGAGGAGGATGCGGACCATATAATTGGTTAACGGGGTGTTGAAGTGCGACTTACTTGGGTCGATGGCTAAATTGGTTAACGTGGTTGTGAAATGGGGTGTTAAATTGCGACTTACTTGGGTCGATGGCTAAATTGGTTAACATGGTTGTAGGAGGGGGTGTTAAATGAGTGAACACGTACACACGTATGCGAAAGAGCGGCGCTGGTCGAAGGGACGTCGATCATTGTGTTTGTGGATTCGTTGGAATTCATTTCACCGCGACCTTGGACGTAGACGCACCGTACAAACCAACCGACGAGCGGCAACTGAGCGAGCGAGCGCCGACCTTGAGTATATATACAGCACGACGGCGCATGCACTGTCAGCTGTTGAATGTTCTCGAAGCGCGACGCCACATGCGCGTCCACTGGAGAATCAGGAGAATTGTAGATGTCGAACGCGGTGTGTAGAGGAGGAAGGGTGCACAGATGGTGGAGGAGTGAAGCGCGCGCGGTGTGTAGAGGAGGAAGGGATGCACAGATGGTGGAAGAGTGGGCGACGGCGCGACGGCGCATGCGCGCGCGTCAGCTGTCGAATGTTCGAGAAGCGGTGTGGACGGCGCGGACGGCGCACTACAAGGCGCGAGTATAAGATGCTCCGCATCTAAAATAACCAATGTGTTCCTGTGGGGGCATTCATAGGGACAATAAACAATCACTACAAACGTAATAGCGCTACCGGTGCTTCCAGCTGTCAACTCCGTTATCTGTGCATAAGCACGGCATGTAGTCTCTTCAAGATAAAACAAGGGTCTGGAATAAGACGCACAAATGTTTTAGGGGAACAAGTGAAAGCGCAAGCCCCCCCTCCCCCCCCCCCCAAAAAAAAAGAAACCGTCTAGGTCAAAAATTAACAATTAATCACCCCGTTTCTCACTAATTCATTTCCTCAAGAAATTGGTTAAGTTGGGTTTGTTGACGTAGTGCTTTCGTCAATTCGAGTTGATTACAACATTGGACACAAAGGTTACCTATCGAAGAATGTGACTTTCTTCGTATTATCCAGAAATTGGTAAAATAAGATTTTGCTAGATCCATCAATTATACTGTACTTGTCATATGACCACGCTTGAGTATTTTATGGGTGGACGGAGTGCCTGGAGAAAGGGGCGTACCGGAAAAATACTCACAACAATATGAGGCGTGCATCTGCCGCAGCAAAAAATAAATTGAGAAGTGTCTCAAAACATGGTGTTATGGAATGCCCCGATACGTTACGAAGATACCTACTCAGCAGAACCCCTACGAGAACGAGTAGCTTCGAGGTACAGTCGAATTCAAACGGTATGGTATTATTATCTGTATAGCAGTTGCAATAAAAAATAAATGTTTAAGCCACTATATAGAGAAAACAAAAATCAGGGAGGAGATTAATTAAAGTGAAGTAGTTACGCACACTGTACAACAGACAGATATCAATAAAATAAAAGAAAAATAGCAAGCATAAAATACGCAAAATTTTATACTCTAGTGCTCCATCCCAGTCACGCCGATTTTTTACAATTATGATCTTGCCACGACGTACATCAACTCAAGCGCTCGTGTTGCGGTCTTCTCCTATTCCTGTATATTTTACGATTTCCTTGCAGAACGCTTCAAATTTCGTATGCACCAAGGAGCAGTGTGAGTGTACTTGCCTCCAGGTCTTCAAGAGGAGCGTGCTGTAGGTGATGCAGAAGCCCATGTGACGAGTCCACTTGGTAGCCACACAACAGTAGACGTCCAGCACGGGAAATATAGCTGCCATCTGCAGCATTCAATCACGTAACCAACATCAGAAAGATGTAACTGAGTTTGAACAACTATATATTCAAGTCAGGCTGAGCAACCAGCACTCCTAATTTCACACAACTAGTGCAAGTGATTCGCAAATACCTTCTCGCACTAGCGAAGTGTGTAAGTACAAATGTTTTAGTTTGCTCGCGGTAGTTTAACATGTGCGAAAAGGAAACCGGAATGAAAGCCGTTGCCTAACATGATCACGGCGCTATCGGATGCTCACAGACACACAGAGCATTAAGTTCTAGCAGCAATAGAAGTGGCATGTGAAGAACGAGCCCAGCGTGTAACTATATGTTCCTATATGCGTATAGGTTCCCAACCACAGTGTCGTAAATGGAGCCTTTGTGAAAAATATACAGTCTTCATGCTTTCATAGCAAATATTGTTCACTGTGGGACAGTGCTCGCGGGCTTCTAAGTGACCACGCAGCTGCATGACGAGTATGAGCGTCTTTTCACCGTAGTATTGAACTTAGGGTACACCGCAGGAACACCAATAATAAACATGTGCTAAGCCCTTACAGGTAACCGACCTTGTGTACTTTTTACAAACAACGTTCACACAAGATCAAATATTCACGAACTATAGACGGCCCATCAGTTTTATGATGGTTTCATTTCAATGTAGACAATTACTGTGCGGGCGGTAAGGTCTTATGTTGCAGTTTATTGATAGATGGAAGAACACCTTACTTAAAAACAAGGCTTTCAAATAGATCATATAATGAATATTTTTGCTTAAGGCCACTTGCCGTAAAGCAAGATGAATTGCCGAAAGAAAAACACTCGGGAGGCTGAGAGCTCGAGTGTAACTGTCAAACTTTTCATTTTATTACATACATGTCCACAATACAACACATTCTATCGTAGCTCGTATGCACTATGGCAACGTGGGCCAAACACCATCTGCAATTTTTCAGCACTCTGCTACTCATTTGAAAGTCACGAGTTCAATCCTGGCTGTGGCGGTCGCATTTCGATGGAGACGAAATGTTAGAGGACTGCGTATTGTACTAAATTGAGCTGTGCTAGGTGTGCTGGGTAGCGCTAGGCCGCTTACAGCGCTAGATAGTGTGCACGTTAAACAACAGCAGATGGTGGAAATGTTGAAAGCCATACACTCGGCCTGCCTCATAATAATGTGGTTTTCGCATTTAAAACTTGCAGTATTATTTGTTTTTCGGCAAATTACCTTCAATATATTGCGCACGTGCACTTGAATGAATGACATCTACTAGCAGACTTGTGCTTGCCGCTTGTGATGACAGCGTCCGAGAAGTATTGCCGTTGCGTACACATTTTGAAGCCATCGAAACAAGGTCTACGAGCGACTCGAGTATATGCATAAACCACAGTATTTACCGCTTGCTGGGGCACTTATTTGTTTGTAGATGGCTGCATTGCAAAGAAAGATGCATGATTGCGGCTGAGTCATGTTGTCACATGCTTTCCGCCAGGATTCTTTTGCCATCAGCTGTGATGCAACCATGGTGTAGATGCAACCGAACGAGCAGATCCTGTACTGGCCGAACCGACATAGGATAACTAGGTTCAAGATTATGGATGCTTGCTTTCTGTTTACACTAGGTGCACAATAGTCACGCCGACAGCTCAATCAGAGCTAGAAGCTGGACAGCATTGGTAATAATAATAATGTCTCTCAGCATGCAACTCAAACCTTATCACGCCCCATCAACTCACAGCTGCTATCAATGACAGCTGCTGAACTCGTAACCATATGTGCAGCTCTTCAGTTTATCCTGAAATGACCCAAAGGACAAAACATTTGATTGTGAAGTGGCCCTCCAATGTTTACTCTTCCAATAATTTTACGCATAGGATGAGATATATTCATTGGATGTATGGATGACAAAAACTTTCGGTCACTGGCTTTGGGAGAGATGGGAAACTGCACCATAAGCAAATAGAAAAGAGTATGCGAAAATACATCATTGGCTACTTGCGGCCTTCAAGGAAAGTATGAATAATAATAACAGCTGGGCATTCTACACCCCGGCCAAACTACGGCACGATTACTAGGGGCGCCGTAGTCGATGGCTCCGAATTTTCACCATCTGGTGCTGACCACTTAAATCTAAGTACGGGTATCAAGCAATTCTCCTCCATCGAAATACGGCCACCGTAGCCGGGATTTGATCCTGCGACCTTCGGTCGGAAATTCAGTGCCGCAAGGACAAGAACATCATGGAGGACCTGGGAAATGGTCAAGCGGACGCAACTTCCAGATGTGGCCACTACGGCGTCAGTTACAATGCCAGCTGTAAGTTAATCTTTCTCTCTTCTCTCACTTTCTAAAGACTGGTGTGAGAGTAAAAGAATCTGGTCTACGGAATTCAAAAACATTTCAGACTCGGAATTTTTGACGCAGTATTGCAACCCACCAACAGCCAATCACGGTGAGGGCCAGAACAAAGAACTCACCACAGCTCTGAGCTCAGTTTTTTAGGAGCACATTATTCTCAAATATATACCCAACAAACCATATCAGTGCGCATGTTATCAAATCAACGCTCTTGCATCAGTTTTTGATGCACGACGCTGATGGAAGAGCGTATAAGCGTTCTTCCGTGATTGTTTCCGTTGTGATTAGTGGCAAATTAACATTTCGAAAAGCACTACTTGTGCTGCACGTTCCAATTTCCACTCCAGTAAAATGGTGTTTCTTCTGGGCAATTAAAAATAATTGCAATAATTCTTACGCAAAATTTGTGATTTCACAGGTTAAAGAAAGCGCCTGAAAGTCTAAACAAACAACGCCTATGACATTTTCACGAGATCTCTGGAGTTGTCATTTTAATGAACTTGATGAAACTCGCACACCAAGCTGTTGACTACGAGAATATGCGTCAAGGCGCGGATAAGGGCGTAATCGAGTAGCACCACGTATTTAGGGGAAAGAGGAAAAGCAATCATTAATGAAACCATACGTTCCCAGCAGAGAAACTTTATGTGTAGTACTTTCGCACCAAGAAAACCCAAGTAGTGTTTTACATGAAGCTGCTAAACTGCCTATTTTTTCTGTTTCTTCATTCTTTCTTTCTTTCTGTCTAACAATTTTTACGCGAAAACGCTTCGATTAGGTACTGTTGAAACCAGCGGTGAACATTCAGTCCTACGAAAAAAAATATTTTAAAGTACCATATGTTTCACATTGTACTAGACAAACGGGCCAAATAAAATTTTCACTCGTGAAGTTCTCGCTTCAGCTATAGTCGTGGCAGATCCTTTCCATTTGTAACGGCTCACAAATTACGTAATCTTTGGCGACCATTGTCGAAGATACCCGGCCAACGAACCATTAAAAGCAGTGTAGATGTAGAAAGACTAGAGAGACTTTGATTGTAGCCGCGTCTCTGTTGGTTCGTTGCTCCAGAACTGCTCACTGGTCTTTAATCCACGCAAGTACAGTCAAGCAAATATCCTTCAACAGGCGGAAGAATCCACACTATCTGAGAAGTGCACCTGTGATCTTCATATAGCTAAGCTCTGTTATGGAGATATTCATCTGAGGCTATATGTAGATCGAGTATTTCCCAAATACTGATGGCGCGTAAAGTTTTGATACGAACGTAGGCGTCTCCAGTCCAACGTACACGTCGTGTTGCAATAAAACGCTGCGCTTTCGTCCGTTCACGCACTCTTTGCGTCACGTTTGAGGGCGCGCTCTCACTGTGTGAGCGGAGATCGTAATCGCGTATCGGGCACGCAGGCTCTGGCCTCCAAAGCAAGGTGAAAGAGCCCAGCCGTCACCGAAATACTATATTCTCCTTGAGGGCTCTGCTGCGGAAAAGCGCAGAATGTAATCGCACCCCATATCTATATTGCTATAGAAAAACCTTCAGTGCTTTATTTACTTCGTACATATGGTGTAATACCCTAATGAACTTCCTTCATGCTTACAAGTGCTCGACCAGATGGGCGGTATAGAATGCCGTAATGCACAAGATTTTTCGACATCTATTATACCACTAGACATGATGCAGTGGCGATTAGCATGTAATACAGTGAAGAACTGTCACTGTCCCTACGATAAGTCAGACGGCTTTTTTTTTTTTTTGAACGAGTTTCTGTTCACAAACTCGTGCCAATAACGCCATCGTCATCCGCATGACACACAGTGTCAGCCCAGTGCCCAAAAGTTACTAGATATTCGCCGATGTCTACTGACGAGTAAGATGAAGCATCTGCTCCTTCACAAGTAAGTGTTTGTGTTCCATTTGTTAGGGATAAGAAATTACCGGGTGGTTCAGTAACTGGAACCAAACATTTTTTGAAAGATGGTTAACCATGACTGAATGAAGCGAACTATACATAGCTTGAAGTCATGTGACACTGCTTAATCAATTTTAATGCAGCACATCTTCAATACTTCTCCAAGATATATCATGCAAAAAATTTAATTTTCACTTTATGGCCCAGTGCGTTTTTTAACATTGTAGGGGATATTCGAAAATAAGCGATCCACTCTTTCTTTGACAATGTACATGCTGCGATCTAGATTTTTCGCCGGTGCCTAAAGAAATCCTTGGACATTCGAGATAAAATCACGTGACTGCGCCAATGCGTTACCGCGCTCTCAAGCATGCTTCGCTCGACAGTGGACGCGCAGACCATCACCCTATCGCTTATCAGGTGCCACGGCGCTTCATTTCTGTGTGCGCTCATTAAAAGGGTTGACGCACTGAGGCATCCGCAAAAATGTCATTGCCTAGAGGTGCAGCCGCTCACTTCACCCATAGAGTTTTCTATAAACACACAAGAGGAAACTCTGACGCTAGTGTCTAAGAAAGCTGATACTCACGGCGGTCCACCTAGCATACAGATGATATGTAGTACATGAATTCGCCTACACTTCGTTATTTCGGCTTTGCTTGGCTCAAGGTTGCTTGCATCCGCTTTTGTCTCAAAGCAAAGTTCAGCAAATTTTAAGCAGTTCACCTTCACAACCTTCACCTTTTCAAGTTCTCTAATTCAAATCAAATAACAAAGTTCCAAACAATTCATCCTTTTATCCAAACCTAACGCCAATGTACAATATTAAACAAAGCCACAAATGTGCTCGAAACTTCTAGCACTAAGTATATGCAAATCCGTGTACTACCTATCACTCCTATGGTGGCAGAAATATCGCAGTGCCGGAGTTCCTTCTTGTAAATATTGTAGGAAACTATGATTCCTCTACGGTCCAAGTGCATATTTTTTGCTAGAAACACGTTTGAGAGCGCTGCGGTGTGGTAGCGCATGAGCGCAGTCAAGTGGTTAATTTCATTATCTTTCAATGCCGGAAAAAATAATCGTGCACCATCTTCCTTCACACAAAAAAATCGAATTAGTCGTTTTGGAATGCCCTTTACAACGTAACGAAATGCATTTGGCCCTAAAGTGAATAATAAAAATGTTTCATGTTTAACCATAGTTATTTAACTAAGTCAGCACAGTGTAAAGTTACGCTAACAATGTTCTGATGATAGCTAACCATGTCTTTGCTATCATTCCATCATGGTTAACTACCTTTCTTCATATTTGTTCTAGTTAGATGAAAGTTAGCATACTTAGTATACTTACGCAGTCACTTCCTTCCTTTCACAATTCATACAAAACAAAAGACTTGTATGCAATGATGTTACAGAAAGACACCTTTGTTCATGCTTAGCCTCTACAAACGAGACAACAAAATAATGCACAGGAATTGAAGTTTTGTAGGGCTTAGCCCGAACGCCGGCTTTGCGTTGGACAGTAAACTACTAGTCACTTCGTTCTCATGCTTCAGCTACATAGCCCATTCACTATATAAGGGCCTGTGTTGTCTTGCCTTTACCGTCCATGATCCTGAATGTTACTCAGCCGTTGTGTGAACAAGCCAATATCCATATTGCAATAGTCGTTTTTTTTTTACTTCGAATGCTTCAAGAAACTCGTTGCACATGTACCGCTGCCTTGCTGCGGTATCAGTGTTGGCAGGGTTAACGGACTATTTCCGCACCCACACACGGCGCGAAGAATTTAAACGAGAGCTTAGTGTTCTGAAACAAAGTTAGCATCTTCGTGACTTCCAGCATATTTGTCGCTTATCTCTGGCGGTTACAAGGTGGCGTTCGCCAGCCACGCGAGTTCAAGCAATGCTTGCACTTGAGGCCACTCAACTGTATAACCCGACCGCTATGGAAGGAAAGGGCCACATAAAAAAAGCTTTTGATACATAAGCGCTCATTTGCATTGTTAAGCTGCCTTCGTAAATATGTCCTGTATAATGAAAGGTCTGCAACTGCTCTTCAGAGCAGTTCTAGGGCATTGCGTTTCTGAGAGTGCTGTTGGACAAATATCTCCGTTTCTCTAGAAGATTTCATGACCTGGAAGCACTGCTCGCCGGTGCACATACATCGTGCGCTTCCCATATTGCAGAAGGTACATCGGAAATGTAAAGCGCATATATAGCACAGCAACATTTCTGATGAGAAAGTTCTACCTATCAGCTTAAGCTTTCTCTTTCCTCGTTTCATAACTTGTCTTTTTTTTCTTTGCAGAAAAACGGTAGTCATCCACTTCATGGGCAAGCACAGAACCAAACTCGCAGGCCTTTATAATAATTCTCAGCCGTAATCAATGCTACAGTATATCAAACAGGTAGTCCATCAAAAAGTACTACAACTGTTTTGCTCCACAATAGTTTGACAGGTGCAAAGTAATGAAAACGTTTCGAGGCTACGGTGATCTCGACCTTGTTTAAGTAACGTTTGCGTTGCGCATTATCATCCGAGTTCTGGCAGGTCCCCCGACTCACGTAAGATTTAGATTGCCATGCGTTCCATAAAGCCAAAGTGACAGATTTTCCTACTTTAAGACGGATTTTTGATCGTGTAATAGGGACTGTAAAAAAATGTCGGAAGAAAGAAATGGCGAAGAGCAAAAGAAGGTCTGCTCTTCGCTGTACCTCGCCATCGTCGCATCTTTCGAGAAGGTCGCAAGATGTTTATCGGATATCAACAGGCGAAAATATAAAATCGCGATATCTAAACAAAAAAGCAAATGTCTGGTTGTCCACATTGCCGTAAAGCCTGGCACGAACCTCTTCTTTTTTTTGCTATTATCAGCACGACCATCTCGATGCCGCAGTTTTTGCCGGCCTTGAGTATCTACGGCCGATCACTGCCGCGAGTGTCGGCTGCATTGCAAGGTTATTTCATTGCACCGGCGCAGTGAGATTATTGGAAGGCGTAGAAATGACGGCACAGCTAGATAAACTAACAAATAGGGGAAGGTCTCTTTTGCGGATAAAGTTATACACCCTTGGCCACAGAGATCACGCGTATTTGATCAATGCATTTCATCGCACAAGGCAACAATAGGCGCAATCACAACAGGTCAATCAACAGGCCCAAGGTCGCCGACATCAAAACGTATAACCTGGACAGAATTTAGCAGGCTGTAAAAAGCGGCAGAATCCTAAAAGCTGTGAAGGCAGACTTGTACATATCGGCGAAAATCAAATGTATGCATTAAGGGACAAGAAACGCAATGCCATTATCGATATGGATAGGATACTTGAGGTAATCGAGGAGTTATGCAGAGAGCTGTACAGAAGCCGAAACAACCAGGATGATATCGTGAGAAGCAATGTTAGCCCAAGAAGAGTTCGACATCCTACCAGTAACGACCAGTGAAGTAAGAAAGTCCTAGAATAAAGACAAAGAGGCGAAGCGGCTACGGAGAATAAGTTAAAAGCGAACCTGCTGAAAGATGTTGGATAAATTGTGTTGTAAAAACTAGCCGCCTTGTATACGAAGTGTCTCTTGACGGGAAGGGTACCACAATCTTGGAAAAATTCCAACATCATTTTAATACACACACACACACACACACACACACACACACACACACACACACACACACACACACACACACACACACACATATATATATATATATATATATATATATATATATATATATATATATATATATATATATATATATACATATATATATATATATATATATATATATGAGATCTAACAGACAACAAACAATAATGCCAAGGAAGGTATAGGGGAAGTTATTAGGCCAATTGTAATGTAAATGAGAAGAAAGAAAAGTGGGTGAAAGATAACTTGCCGTGGGCAGGATCCGAACCTGCGACCTTCGAATAACGCGTTTGATGCTCTGCCACTGAGCTACCACGACAGCTATCCCCCAGCCACTTTATTGGGTATCTATGTCAATTTAAACGTGGGAGTGTCATTCAGCGCCACTGGTAGCCATGGCGGCGAGTGGGCCTTGCGTGGAGTTATTTTTCTTAATTCTTCAAAAAAGAAACATTTTTATTGTGCTGTGCAACAAAAAGCAAGAGAATCAAAGTTGGAATTAAGCGAGAAAAATGACACTAGCTTTTCTTTCTCGGCTGCAGCGTAAATTTGCCTGTCAAAAGACGCTTAAGAATCAAAAAGGTCATATTTCACTGGTTGTTCAGAATATTTTATTTACAGAAGCGGAAACTCTTTGCTAGTTTTACTCGCTGTTGGAACTTTTAGGCAGTATTTACTTTGTCATAACACGGGCTCAGGCGAAACGCTTTTCTCTTGTCAGTTTAGCTTTTTTTTAGAAAGAACAAAATGGTTTACAAGTTAGCCCTAGCTAGTGTCACGTCAGAATTTTAACACAAGCAATCAAGTTCACAATGATTAGTTCACAATTGCACGTGCTTAATTGCGTGAATAGGTGAACGCTGATTCACTCTCTTCCTCTTCCTCATCCTTACCATATTTTCTTGTTTAGTGCACTCCCGCGTGACAAACGTCATTGAGAGGCTGTTTTTAGCGCATGTTTTAAACGAACTATGCGCCTAACCAGTGCTCTGTTTTGTTTAACTTTGTCTTATTCTGTTACATCCCTCTCTTCATTTAAGACTTGATTTGATTTTGAAACTACCATGGAAGAGCGTTCAAAATCAAGATGGGAGCCGACAGATGGAAGCAACGTAGTGGGGATTAGAGGGGTGAACAGTGGAAGTGCCTCAGACAGGCTGGCCGCAGTTTCGATAGGAGGACCTATCTTTCTCAAAGGTGGCGCGTCATCCTTGGCGTGTTAGTTTGATAGGGGTTAGTGGTGACGTCATATCATGATAGTGGCGCGTGTCCAATCTATTTAAAACTAACACGCCAAGAATGACACGGTGCCTTTGAAAAATATAGGTCCTCCAATCGAAACGTTGGCCAGCCAGTCTGAGGCACTTCACCTGCTCACCCTGATTATCCCACTATAGCAGAGCGTTGCCATTTCTGATGTTAGGCTAAATGAATAAACAGAGAAAAGTTGCAACAAAAATTTTACTTTAATACATGAATAGCCATAATTGCCATGCTCCGATCAAATATAGCAGTTTGCATTAGTGTACACTGACTTGTACGCTGGTTTTATATACCGCGAGACATGCAGCTGCAACGACTGAATGGTGCCACCCACCTCACAGTACATAATGGCGCAGCCAATGAGAGTGATGCAGAGGAAGACGGGGCTGGCCACCTTGATCACCTTCAGCTTGCGGTATCGGTATACGTAGCCAGCCAGTACCATCGTCAGTACGATGCAGATCACAGATATGGTCAAAAGCGAAATCCTGTAAGAAGGAGAAACAAAGTTTTGAGGCAACGCCATATTGCTCAGATACGACGTCTCGTAATAAACGAATGTTGATAATCTAGGGGTGATAACTTTTTTCCTAACGGAACAAAAACAAAGCTTCATCATTTTATTGTGGTCATAACGACAAAGGATTTTAGTGCCGCTTTATTACAGCATGGCTATAAAAAATGCGGATTACACTGGGTATTCACCCAAGGGCATCCGCAAAACTTTTTGCTGGTGGTGGTGGGAGAGCCAAGGCCTACCTTAACGAATGCCCATAGATCCAGCCGTCTTAATGCAAAGTTGACGTGTTGAAACTGCCTATATATCTGCCTCTCCCCGCTCCCCCAGTCGCAACGTGAATACACACACGAAAACCAATGAAGTACTGCCCGAAATAAACATAAATAGGAAGAAAATGTGCAAACATCACACTAAAACAAATCATAAAAAACTAAGCACACGTTCCTGCGTTAAATAGATGTCCTCGTATTATGGATAGGGCTCCGTGTATTCGGAGCTTATTTTTCTTGAAGTTCAGACGCAGTTTTTTGGAGTTTACTTCTGAAAATGCAGTGTTTATAGAAGGTACTTTCTCGTTAATACCCAATTGTTCAAAATTCAATGTTTAATTTCACTTCAAAAGTGGAATAATATGCTCTTAATATTTTATTTACGATGAAAGTGCGTTGTATTGTTGACTATAATGATGTTTTTCCATCCTTTTATTTTTTCACGTTCTCTTCACGGTTATAACACTGCTATGCGCTGCTGTGAATTCACCTAAGTGTAATTTGGAGAGCAGGAGCTATGCCAACTACTTGACCTCTTTTATCGTCTACATAAAAATAAAAGAATATAATATTCTAAATATCATCTTTATAAAAATTAGAGAATATTACTATTCGCAATGGTGCGAAACCATAGATGAAAAAATTAAATCTCTCCACAAAATCACGCGAACACGCTAAATCCACCTTAGGAGTCTCGAAGGTTAGAACGCACAAACAAGTGCACACAAGCGCAAATAGTAAAACAAATTGCCTACGTTTGTTTGCGTTACAGCCTTAAAGCATTATTAAACGCAATCAGATTTTACAAGGTTGCTGCCGCTTATGATGTCCGCTCCATTGAATTGATGAGTCTCTCCTTTGGAAATGCTGTTTCGACGTAGAAAATGTTCTTTTAAAATGGGAGTTTATCGATAAACTGAATCGTGAAAAATTTTACCGGCGAGTGTTTACCAGATTTTTTTGGATTGATCTAAAAATGTAGTGCCATAACTATACTGAACAAAACGTCCAGCTAACAACGTTTGCTGAAAAACTTAGTTCTCATGTATCCTGAGAATATATGGAGAGTAATTAAAATTTTCAGCTTGCAGTGGTTTTCTCTTCCTAAGAGGCCATTCCTGAAATTAGAAAGGGTATACATTAACACAAAAGAAATCGAAATTCGCCGCAGAGTCAATGGTTTAGTGAGCACGTGTGCTGCTTTGGGTGTAACACATGAATATACGGTTTTTCTTATTCTCCTAACACGAAACAGTGTTCTGTTAGAATAAACAAAAGATGCTGATCTAATCATAATAGTTAGAATAATGCCTACAAAAAAACCGCATGGGGCTGTCAAGCAAGGCTTGACCAAGCAATGGAACTTTCACATTTCTTTCAGTAATCTCAAACATCGACTCACAAGTAATCATATTGGAGCCGAGGCGTTATAAAGAAAAGTGTGGATTATAATAGCAGAGTTATGTTGGGATTGCAATCTTTTTCTAAGGCGGCATAAAAGCGAGGCGCCTAGGCCATATCCAGTCGCATAGAGGGTTTACCGTGCAATTATCTCTGCACAGAAAACTGCAAAGTAGAACATATTGGGTGCATTAGGGATGATCTTGTTCGTCAATTTGCACATCCACGGACTACCTCGAGGCACAATACGTAAAACGTTTTTGTTGTAATATGGCGAGAATCTAACAAGTCGTCAAACTAAGTGTGTCTGATTTATTCACCACTCGGTAGGCTGTTTTCATTTCTTCCAATGTGACTGGCATTCCACAGAAGCCTCGATTTGTATTGTTGCCCAAAAGAGACGCGAGTGTTAGTGTTTTCGCGACTGCGAAAGTAAAAAGCAAGAATTTGCATATTAACATTGATATACCTTTTATTCGGGAGCCTAGTTTAAATCAGAATATGTTGTGAAATTCATATTCCTTTCAGCATCAGCATGCAAGCCGTCTAATAACAACTTTGCAGAGCAACTCGACGTCTGGTGTGAGAAACTAATTTCTGCGGTTATTCTTCGAAACGTAAGAGAGTGACGTGCAGGTACAGCTCTGTTGCAGATACCTCACAATATATTAAAAATAGGCAGATCCCACGTACAGTGGGGATCGACGATATGAGAAGCACAATTGAAAAGGGTTAGATTGACACATTAAAATCAGAACAACGTTACGAGGCGGACATAAGTTATGCCGTACATGATTCCATGTCATGATTATTATGCTTGCGCCTGGAATTTGTGTTCGTCGACCATTCACGTCACGTAAAACCAAATTTCGCATATGCGAACCTAATGAAACGACCACGAGCGCACTATGAGCATAGCATGCAGTTATGTATTACATGAAACGCATGTCATGATTATCATGTATGGACGTGTCATTTACCTTCGTCGTCAATTCACGTCACGTCATACCAAATTTGGTATATTTAAAGCTAGGGAAACGGCCGCGAGCGCATCATGAGCCTGGCATGTACTCATGTTCTTACATGACACGCATGTCATGATTATTATGTTGGTACCAGTCATATACCTTCATCATTATTTCACGTCACGTAATACCAAATTCAATATATGTGAAGCTAGCGAAATGGCCGCGAGTACATCATGAACGTGGCATGTAGTCATGTTCTTACATGACACGCATGTCATGAATTTCACGTGACGACCTTTCACTTATGTTCGCCACGCAGTCATGCCATACCATTCAACTTTTTTATATGTCATGTGAACGAAACTAGCGCAGGAGCAGCAAGACTATGACATGTAAATCATGATATTCATGAAATACACGCCATGATTTTCATGTTATCATCATCATCATCATCATCATCATCATCATCATCAGCCTGACTACGTCCACTGCAGGACAAAGGCCTCTCCCACGTTCCACCAGTTAACCCGGTCCTGTGCTTGCTGCTGCCAATTTATACCCGCAAACTTCTTAATCTCATCTGCCCACCTAACCTTCTGTCTCCCCCTAACCCGCTTCCCTTCTCTGGGGAATCTAGTTAGTTACCCTTAATGACCAGCGGTTATCCTGTCTACGCGCTACATGCCCGGCCCATGTCCATTTCCTCTTCTTTATTTCAACTATGATATCCTTAACCCCCGTTTGTCCCCTAATCCACTCTGCTCTCTTCTTGTCTCTTAAGGTTACACCTACCATTTTTCTTTTCATTGCTCGCTGCGTCATCCTCAATTTAAGCTGAACCCTCTTTGTAAGTCTCCAGGTTTCTGCTCCATAGCTAAGTACCGGCAAGATACAGCTGTTATATACCTTCCTCTTGAGGGATAATGGCAATCTACCTGTCATAATTTGAGAGTGCTTGCCGAATGTGCTCCACCCCATCCTTATTCTTCTAGTTACTTCAATCTCGTGATTAGGCTCTGCGGTTATTACCTGCCCTAAGTAGACATAGTCTTTTACAACTTCAAGTGCACTATTACCTATCTCGAAGCGCTGCTTCTTTCCGAGCCCCGCCGCGGTGGTCTAGTGGCTAAGGTACTCGGCTGCTGACCCGCAGGGCGCGGCTTCGATTCCCGGCTGCGGCGGCTGCATTTCCGATGGAGGCGGAAATGTTGTAGGCCGGTGTGCTCAGATTTGGGTGCACGTTAAAGAACCCCAGGTGGTTGAAATTTCCGGAGTCCTCCACTACGGCGTCTCTCATAATCATATCGTGGTTTTGGGACGTTAAACCCCACATATCGATCAATCAATCAATGTTTCTTTCCGAGGTTGTTGTACATTACTTTCGTTTTCTGGAGATTAATTTTAAGACCCACCTTTCTGCTCTCCTTGTCTAACTCCGTAATCATGAGTTGCAATTCGTCCCCTGAGGGAGTTACTCAGCAATGCAATGTCATCGGCGAAGCGCAGGTTACTAAGGTATTCTCCATTAACTCTTATCCCTAACAGTTCCCAATCTAGGCTTCTGAAAACCTCCTGTAAGCACGCGGTAAATAGCATTGGGGAGATTGTGTCCCCCTGCCTTACACCCTTCTTGATTGGTATTCTGTCGCTTTCTTTATGAAGCACTATGGTAGCAGTTGATCCCCTGTAGATTTCTTCCAGAATGTTTATATATACTTCATCTACGCCCTGATTCCGCAGTGTCTGCATGACGGCTGATATTTCATGTTATTTCCAGTGACTAATGCTCGACATGAAGTCATGTAATGCCATACTGATTATGGTACAGGTCCAAATATCGAAACGGCCTGGAGAGCTAAAAGGTATAGGCGGATAGATAGATAGATAGATAGATAGATAGATAGATAGATAGATAGATAGATAGATAGATAGATAGATAGATAGATAGATAGATAGATAGATAGATAGATAGATAGATAGATAGATAGATAGATAGATAGATAGATAGATAGATAGATAGATAGATAGATAGATAGATAGATAGATAGATAGATAGATAGATAGATAGATAGATAGATACGGTCAAAGTCGCCGAAGTTCGCTAAGAAATACTTCGCATTTTACGTGAGCGTTGCCTTAGCTTCTGCATTCTACTCATTTTCGACGCCTGCAGAAGTTTCTCTTATACTTCCTTTGGCTCGAGTTCTTTTTCCTTCGTAATTTTTCAATGTATACCATGTAGTTTACGCTTGTCGTGTCCACTTAATAATGTGTACGTCCTCCTTAACGTCTTTTGTCACTGTAATTCCAGCGCACTTTTAAAGCCACGC